TATTTTGTCTGGTTATGGGAACAAACCCATTATCTTCCTCAGTGCAGGAGGCAATGCTATTGGCCAGTGTAGGAATGAGGAACTCCTTGATAAGTTCAAGGCAGCTATCGAACATGTTAGGGTGAAGGGAGGGATCCCTATCATATGTGGTGTCCTGCCTAAAAGGAGAGTTGGCAATGAGTGGTTATCAATGGCAGTTGGTGTCAATGGCCGTCTTGACAGATATTGCAAGTCAATATCAGTCTCATTCATTGACAACTGCGACAACTTTTACTGCAGAAGGGACCATTATCCTAGGGATGGGGTACATTTGGGGTAGCAACCCAGGCTGGCTCTCTCAAGAGGCATTTCAAAAGATGTCGAAGTCTTTAAACTGCTAGGGGAACATGTGGGCATGGGGATCGAGGAAACTGCAGTGGGAGCGGGTAAACAAAATGAAGAGTTAAAGAGAACTAGTGCTAGGAATGATGACAAAACTAAATTAGACAGGAAGTTAAACCTAAATGCGACAAAGATAGGACTCGGATCACAGCTAACATAAATGTCTACAACGCAAACTGTAGAAGTATGAGAAACAAAACGGATGAAATCAGGGCGTTGGTACGTACCGAAAAAATCGATACACAATACAGTAGTCCCTCGGTTAACGAATGGTTCGATTAACGAAATTTCGGTTCACAAATTAGCTCCCATAAGGATTTTCAGTTCGATTAACGAATAAAACTTCGATTAACGAAACCCTTACGACAAACACGTTTTGTTGTGAGCATCAGCTGATCAGCTAGTCCGCCAATACAGTAATTGGCTTTATGTTTACATTCGTTTCCAGTAAAGTAAATATCAAGAATGTTGGTCTCTTGTATATTCTTGCATTTTTACATTAAAATTATTGGTCATTCTGAAATTTAGTTAACACATTGATAATATACAGTGCAGAAATTATTATGAAACACGAAGAAGGCATTAGAACCAATGCACTCTGTAAAGAATATGGCATGTCATCATCGACTGCCTCTACAATCAGCAGTTTGATATGTAAACAGAGCTGCCGGGAATATGACACAGTACTCACCTCAAAGTAAGCTAAAATACAGTACTGTACAGTATTCTATTGTTTTTTATTTATTATTATATAGTATACTGTACAGTACAGTACTGTATTTAGTTTATATTTAATGTTTTGTTAATTCTATTACTGGTATACAGTACTTTATATGTGTACTTTTTCTGTGAGTTGGAACCAATTACCCAATATCCCATTGAAATAATAGATTCGGTTAACGAAATTTTTGGTTAACGAACGACTCTGTGGAACGAAGTGTGTTCGTTAACTGAGGGACCACTGTAATAGTATTCACCGAAACATAGATAAACTTACTCAAGTGAGTTACCTGCCAAATACCAAATTGCAGGTTACAAATTATTCCATACCAATAGGCAGATTAGGAAAGGAGGCGGTGTAGCAATCTATGTCAGGGATAATCTGAACTGGGAAATAAATAAGGAAATAAAAACTGAACTGAATACAGAAAATTTGGATATAATTAATCGATGGTAGGGAAAAATGAATGATAGGAGTAATATATAGACCTCCTAATCTGAGTGACTTATTTGGGATGAAATGCACAGGGCATCCAGACATAGCAAAGTCTGTATAGTTGGTGACTTTAACTCTAGTCAAATTGACTGAACCGACCTTACGGGTAACTCCGAATCAGAGGATTTTCTTGAAACAGTCAGGACTGTTTCGTAAGCCAACATATAACCGAACCCACCCGGGGTAATAATATACTCAATTTAGTTCTGTTAAACAGAGAAAACCTCATTATTAATGTCGAGGTAGGGAACGAACTAGCTAACAGTGATCACAAAGAAGTGAGATTCAAAGTTGAACTTAATGTCAGTTGCAAGGAAAATTCCATCAAAGTCCCAGATTTCAGACGGGCAAACTTTGATTGTTTGAAAAGACAGCTGAGAGAAGGAGTATCATGTTTGGGGGTGAATTATATGACCTCACCCAATGAACCCACAGAGGGCGACCTCACTTTACCTGGTGACCTAACAATGATAACCTCACATAAAATGACGGTTGAGGATGACCTGAACACAAGAGCTGAGGTTGACGAGTTCCACAATAATTTAAATAATGAGTTACTTAATGCACAAAGGCAGAATACACCATACAGGACATGTAGATTAAATAACAATGACCCCATATGGATGAATAATTATTTCAAGAATATTATTGGACAAAGGAATGTTACAGGTAGGAGAATAAATCATGAAGTTTACCTTCAAGATTATGAAGTATTGGCCAGTAGGATTAAGACCGAGATAAAAAAAGCCAAGAGGAATAATGAACTGAAGGTAGCAAGGGAGGCAAAGTCAAACCCCCAAGAGATTCTTCCAAATATATCAAACTAAAACACGAGACAAGATTGGACCAGTACCGGCGAGCTAACGGATAACCACGGAGAAATGAGCAATAATCTGAATAGATATTTTTCAACAGTTTTCACCACCGGAAATTTAAACATGATACCCGAGGCATCGACTATACTGTATACAGAGATAGAAAAGAAAATAGATTAAGCGAGGTAGTGATGTTAGTAAGCAAATAGACAAGCTAAAGCCTAATAAGTCACCAAGTCCCAATGAGATATTTGCCAGAGTATTAAAGGAATGTAAGGAGGAGCTTAGTATGCCCTTAGCAAAGTTGTTTAACATGTCCTTAAAAACCGGTGAAGTACCAGAATCCTAGAGGATAGCGAATGTAATACCAATTTTCAAAAAGGGAGATAGATCACTATCCTCTTACTATCATCAAATTAGCTTAGCATCAATTGTAAGCAAATTACTGGAAGCAATAATTTCAAACAACAGTAAACCCCTGCTTTACGCAGTTTCACTTTACGCGTTTCCACGTTTACGCGGTACCCTGCCGAAACCGGAATGCTCACTTTCCGCGGTGTGTGTACCCTTTTACGCGGAGAGCGGCGCGAGCAGGGTGCGCACAAGGTCGCCCAGTCATCAAAACATTACCAAGTTCTTCACCCGCCACCGCCGGCCCAAGTCAGTGATAGTGATAATGATGGTGAGGATATGGACTTTGAGGGGTTTGACAAAGAGGCCCTGCAAGCGTCTGTGGTGGATAGTGATACAATTGATACAAGTGATACAGGTGAGGGCCAATAATCTGCCCTCTGCCTCGGAACCAACCCCTCCATCCCCGTGTGCCCAGCCATCTTTTCTACTAGTGTAAGTGTTAAAAAACCTAACATTATTGATATTTCTCTTAATTATTAATTGTGTGTGCATACCATCATAAAATTAAGAAGTTATTTTTACTACAATGTAGGTATTGTGTCTGAAAAAGTGGAGTTTGGGGGTTGGCCCAGTCTCTATTTCAATTAATCCCATATGTTATGTTGTTCACTTTACGCGTTTCTCACTTTACGCGGGCCGCCGTGGGTTCAATTGACCGCGTAAAGTGAGGGTTCACTGTATTCAAAATCACCTGGAGAAGCACAAATTAATCAATGATTCTCAACATGGCTTCACAAGTGGGCATTCATGTCTGACTAATCTATTAACATTCTTTTCAGCCGTTTTCGAATCAGTGGACGACTGGCAAGATTATAATGTGGTATATCCCGACTTTTGCAAAGCTTTCAACAGAGTCCTCCATGAGAGACTAATACAAAAAGTGGAGGCTCATGGGATTAGAGGAGATAATCTAAAATGGATTAGGGTGTGGTTACAGGACAGGAAACAGCGAGTAAGCATTAACGGTACTAAATCCAATTGGGGTAACATCACTAGTGGAGTACCCCAAGGCTCAGTACTTGGACCATTACTATTTATTATATACATAAACTACATAGATATAGGTGTAGACAGCAACAGAAGTAAATTTGCTGATGGCACTAAAATATGACGTGTAATTAAATCTGACGAGGACTCCTCAAAACTACAGGAAGATCTAAACTAATTTTTCGAATGGTCTGAAAAATGGCAGATGAAATTTAATGTGGACAAATGTAAAGTACTTAGTCTAAGAGATGTAAACAGAGAAACCAGATACCAGATGAACAACATTGTTGAAGAGAAATCAGACTGAGAAAAATTTAGGAGTAATGATAAATAGGAATCTTAAGACAAGTAAACAATGTGTATTTGCTCGAAAAAAGGCTAATAAAGTACAGTACTTGGGTTCATACAAAGGAGTGTTAGTTACAAGACCAGCGAGGTCATCCTAAAACTATATCTTGCACGTGTGAGCCCTCACTTGGATTACACAGTTCAGTTCGGATCACCGTACTACAGAATGGATATAGAATCCCTAGAAAGAATTCTGAGGAGAATGACAAGACTAATCCCAGGCATTAGGAACCCTGAGTACAGAGACAGGTTAAAGCATCTGAATTTGCACTCCCTTGAGAGATGTAAATTGAGAGGTGATGTGATCAAGGTGTATTAATGGAAGTCAGGGCTAAACAAAGGTACTCAAACTATTGAACCAGGAGCGAACTCATATCAATGGTTTTAAATTGGACAAATTTAGATTTAGGCGCAAAATAGGTAAATATTGGTTTGGAAATAGAGTAGTGGATGATTGGAACAAGTTACCAACATCATCATTAACTCAAATATGCTGGATAGCTTCAAACATAGGTTGGATGGATATATGACCGATAGAGATTGGGTGTAAACGGGCTGCCCAGTATGGGCCAATAGGCCCGCTGCAGTTTCCTCCATTCTTATGTTCTTATGGTGCAGATATATTCTGGAGCCAGTACATGCCCTGTACTTGCCAGCAGTGTGTAAGAGACGTGACTGAACACCCAAGCAGCTAACGAGCTGAAAAGTGGCTTAGAGGATAAAGTAAAGTAAAGATTTCATCACTTACTAACCATTCAGGTAGTCGGTCTGTTCTTTGTTACAATCTTCATTGTCTACAGGTTATTACTGTACTTCAAAGTCTTCATTTTTTCTTACAGGATAATTCACTAAAGAGAGTAGTGTGTTATGAGGAGTTTTACAGCGTCATCAAGAACTACCATGAAAATGTGGTGGAACACGCTCCTGCGAGGAAAACTTTCAAAGCGGTAAGAGGCGACCTTATAGTTGAGGAGGCTGGGCTGTGTGTAGGCAGAATGGGCTCAACTCATAGCATGGATAGGTGTGAATAATCTTCCTTGTACAGTATCTGTACTTAAAATTCATTGTCTTGTGGGAATTAAATTTTTCTTATGTTAACTGAATACTTGTATCCATTGTTGACCAGGTAATTCCCATCCCAGACACCCATCTGAATTACACACCCAGGTAGTGCTTCTGCTCTTTGCAGTTTACACCCAAACTCTTGATATATCTACAACTTTTAATGAGGTTATTGATCACAAATCATAGCATGTCCTACAAGTCACAAGTACCAATGTATTAGTGTCTGACCACATGGTCTTGTGACTAGGTATGTTGCCCCCTTGGGTGTAATAAATTAATTAAATAATAAGTCCAACATGACTAAAGAGACACCCAGAAGCAGCAGATGCAGGTAGTGGGGTGTTAAGATTGAGATAAGTCACAATGTCAGGAAAAACCTCATTATATTCATTCCATCCCTGGGCATGCCAAGATTTTTATTTTTATTAATATTTTTATTTATTTATTTTTTTTTTTTTGCGGGGATTAGCCCAGCCGGGCACAGGTCACTGACCCACATCGGGGCCTGGGGGCAAAATGTAATAATAATAATAATTCATAGTAAATAAAAATTTTAATAAAAATAAAATAAGCCGTTTTTTTCTAAAAACCAGTTTTTGTGATATAGCTCGAATGCGACGATCAGCAATGCTACCTAGGTATGTTAATTCCTAGACAATTCGCCAGGCCAACATACAGGCAATTAAAACATCTAATAATTACTTAATAAGTAATATTAGGACACGTCGCTACCTGGCATTTAATTGCTATTTTGAAAGTCCCTCCTTCAACCAGCCTCCGTGCGCCCTGCAAAGCTCATCTCTTGCCTGGCGTTTCAGCTATAAAATAATTGAGACCCTGCAATTGTGTGTAAATGAAGCAGAAAGACAGATGAGCAACCTGGGACTTTGTCACAATTTTTGTGATGCCATACAGTGGTCCCTCGGTTAACGAGCACAATCCGTTCTAGAAGGTTGCTCGTTAACCGAAAAACTCGTTAACTGAAACCATTGTTTCAATGGGTTTTTGGGTAATTGGTTCCAGCTCACCGAAAATTGCCTAAATTCAACAAAAAAGGTAGAAAAGTACACTTACTTTGAGGTGTGTATGTAGAAGGCTCCTGGATGATGATGATGATGGGAATTAGAATGGGGGTGGAGGAGAAGGGAGAAGAGAAGGCATTGGGGTGGAAGAGAAGTCACCCCATGGTGCCATTTCACCCATAAAATTTTAGTTCTCTTGGTGTAATTCAAGATTGTTTTCTTTAAGTCAACACTGCACTGCATTATATATTGTCAATATGTAAAATAAATTTCAAAATGACCAATAAATTGCTTGCACACAGAAAAAAAGCATTTAGTTGAAGAGTCTCAAGCAAGATGTTACCTCCACTGAAAAGACACAAAGACTGACGCCTGTATAGTGTGTTGAGAGGCTGGATGGAGCTCATAAAACTAGTTTCATTACCTTCAATTATGTTCAATAATTGTTAAAATGACTAAAAAATTTAATATTAAACTTTTAAAATTATTGAATAGTATAAACTTCTTGATATTTGCCAAAATGGTAAGGAATTTAAGCCCTAGAACTGATTACTGTATTGGTGGACTAATACAGTTGGTGGACCGCCAAATGCAAGCGAAAACATGTTCTGGTCGGCTCGTAAGAAACTCGTTAATCGAGGGATTGCTCGTTAATCGAAATCTCATTAACCGAGGCGCTCGTTAACCGAGGGACCACTGTATAACAGCAGGGTTTACCATTAGAAAACGCCTTATGCTTCCAATATCTTCCCAGGCGGTATACAAAGGTCAACTGATGTCTAATGAGAAGACCAAGCTCCTGAAGGAAAGGTGTGGAAGAAGAGAGGGGATTTGATGGGGGAGGGGGGGGTATAAGAGGTTAGGCTGGGTGAGGTGGGTGGTCAAGGTGTTAATGGACACAAGAAGATCAAAGGGAAAGTTCGCTGACATGGCCACTGCCACCTGACCCGATGTCGCCTCACCTCATGAGACCTTTAGGTATGTGACCGCGTGGTGTCTCCCCACACCCACGGCGCACCCTTCACAGCCTACCCACACCATTCCCTCCACCCACATAACTCTTTTACTATGGTTAATAATTAATTAATTAAAAAATATAATGGTATTAGTTTTCATGTAATGAGTAATAATTTTTTTTTTTTCAATTGGAGTAAAAGTATTTTAAAACCATGCTTAAGTAAAAGTACAGTACTAAAAAAAATAGTATTGAAATTTTTAAAAAGTGAATACCCAAAAATGTTACTCGAGTACAGTACTCTGGTAAATTTATTTAGTTACTTTACAACTCGGGTTATGGCTTTAAATTCTGTCTACCAAGCTACCAATTGTAGTCTACCGGTATACAGTACAGGGTACTTGTCAATTTCATTGCATCACGTAGAAGGTCCCCAGGAATTACCGGTAACGGTGTTTTGGAAGATAGTGTAGTTATAAAATTTGCAAAACTAGAAGAATTTTTAATGCATATTGCACAGCTACATATCACTGAATTCCCACAGCCTGTCATACCTAGCTTCTTTGCCAGTCAAAGTCCCAGAGATATTAGAATGCCTGCAGGTGCCAAGCTTATACTATAGATGGGCAAGGGTGACTTAATTGAAGTTTATAAACATCTCAGAGGACACTACTCAGTCGAGTGGCCATACCTTGAGCTGGTGGATACCCGCCCCACGAAGGGTCACATCTCTAGGTTGAAGAAGCCCAAGTCCAGAAAATTGTGAGGGCAAACTTTTTCGGAGTGTTGTGATGTCACCGAATGCGAACTCATTCAAGACGAGACTTGACCGCCACTCGCGCAGTTACAGATACATTCTGGAGCCAGTACATGTCAACAGTGTGTAACAGACGTAACCGACTGCCCAAACAGCTAATGAGCTGATCAGTGAAGAGGATAAAAGTGTACTGCACTGAGTGCATTTGAAGACCAGACCACTGAATCTTTACCCTCAATGGGCTGGCCTGAAGGATTTGATTCCATTTAGTTTTAGTCATTTGCTTTGTTACAGGGGAGTAGTCACATTTCATGATCAAGTTGGTTGATGAATTACAGTAAAGTATAATGAAGAGGTTCTGCTCTTTATCTAGGTTTACAGTAGGCAAGCCCAGGAAGAAGGCTCTTACTGGTATGGTTAGCCTACCACTAGCATGTGCAATACAGTACTTGTGTTATTTGTGAATTACATTTTATTTATTTATTTACCAGTATTTATATTTTTGTGTTTGAATTATTTCACTTGGCAAGTATAATAAACTGTCATGATATATGTTCTTACAATTTAAAATCAGTACATGATCCATTATGCATGCTGCAGATCCAGGAGCAGTATGCCCTTATACCCAGAGAAGCTGTTGAGAAATACTGCAGCATCTGTACTGTATGTCAGCAGAGAGGTGCCCAGAAGAACACTGCCCCACTCAAACATGATATTGCTAAAGGAATCAGAAAATGTCGTCAGGTTGGTAACTTTAATACACTTGAACTTAATCTAACATGATGCGGATTAAGTATGTGTGTGTTAGCTTTGTTCACTTGCCACTAGTGTGTGATTTCTCATTGTTGTCTGTTTTATTTTTATATCATTTTTTGTATCAGAAGTTAGTTGTAATATAGATATGGGAATGATAATTTTTTTATAGCAGGACATTGACTCAAAGGTGATCACTAAGGAGAAAATACACTACATGCATCTTGAGGTACAGGAGGCCAAGGCTGGGTCTATTAGGATGGAGGGAAATCTCAGGATATATGATCAATAAAATAATATACTGTACTGTATATCGTCAAGGAAAGTTAATGCTGATTGATTTTTTTTTTTACAAATCAATTTTTACATTACATTATTGTAGGCTGTGGTTAGCAGGTGTGGTTAGCTAACATTTTCTCATGATCAGCAGTCTAGCCCATGTAACCAATCCAGCTGACTTTCTCTTTAGGCACTGGATATTATCACATTCCACAATACAGTGTGACTTTTTCGAAGTCTTGCTGTTGTTTTTGTGAATATTGAACTTAATTTCCATATGAAAATAATTAACTTGTGTTAAACTCTACACAAAAAACGGCTGTTAGTATGGAGCAGCTTGGGGGATCAGTAGAGAGGGTACTGGTCAACCCATCATGAAACATTCCCACATGAGTCAGCCCGTGTGTGTGTGTGTGAACCACAGTCTCATATGTAGGGGACATTAATTTATTTGTAACAGTAAAGTTGGCTCACTGGATGTTACCACTATCAGGTAACAATAATGGTGGTTTAATACAGTCACATACGTACAGTACATGCTAGACTAAGTTTAATATCTGATAATGGAATATACTGTGCCTTTCACCAGTGGGGTTTACTCATTGAGAGGTTACAATGGGAAGTGTCCATTCAATGGAGACATCACTCTACTTAACCCCCGGGTTAGGGTGCCGCTGGCAGTACTCCCCCCCCATGTGGGGGTAAATTGAGAAAAATCAAAACTTTTCCACAAATAATTTTTAACCTTTTTAAATGATAAAACAATAAAAAATAAGTAAGAAAAACTATACAGGTATCCCCCGGGTTACAGAAGGTATGTGCCCTTGAAAATTTATCCCTAACGTATAATTCCGTAACGCAAAACCAATTTTCCGATTGACTTCTATTATATAATTGGAGATGCGTTCCAAAGGAAATATTTTCGACAAAAATACGTAATACGAACACATTTATGAATGAAAAAAAAAAATTTCTACCACATACATTGATTATTTTATGATATAATATGATAGTAAATATACAAAACACTTGAATTTAACTTACCACAAACGATGTTGAGTGCTGCGTTAGGTGAGTTGATGAGGTAAGGTGGTGCAATTGTACTGGGAGGGAGACGGAGGAGTACCACTGGCTCCTGCCTCGCCCTGTACAGCATTGTAGCAACCACCAAGATATCCACACAAAATAAATTTTATAATTTCTGTGAATTTTTTCTAATAGTACTGAAAAAAAAAATTACTTAAAAATTTACCCAATTTTCGTAAGGGCGAATTTACGTAACCCGGGGGATGCCTGTATATTGACCCTCTAGAAACTTCCTTGGCAGTGCTGAAGGAGGGAGAAGGGTTGGATATAAGGGGACTGTTGTTTTGACAGCTGAGCTCGTGGTCACCTACTCACTTACCAGCTATTTTTAGCTTGCCTTTGTGTCCGAGATGGCCAATAATGCATATATTTACTGATTATAATACTTATTTGCTATAAATAATTAATTTAGAATATTTTATTTGCATTATTTTTCATAAAAAGTGCTTGGCAGCTCACATGCAGTCAGTTGCCAGGCTGTCTGGCTGTCTTTGTGTTTGGTAGAGCAAGTAATGAATAAAATAATAATTCAACAATAAATACATTTATAACATAATCATAGCATTATTTTCTAGTAATACTACATGCCATTACAACTACTGGTATACACTAATTTTAGCAATATTGCTTTGATGCAACATGATAAAATGAACAAACAATGGAAATGAAACAAACAAAAGTAGGTAATTACATTCAGGACGCTTCCCTGTGGCCAAGCGTATGGCGTGACAGGCAAATAGTCACCCTGGAATCTGATAACCTGCACTGGGCATTTAAACACTGGCGGGAAATGGCACGTCTTAGTATGTCACCCGGGGCGTAAGGGTGGCAACCTGTGGTGTAATGGTCAGCATACTCTCCTCGCAAGTGAACGGACCCGAGTTCGATCCTCGGGCAGGGTGAAACTATGGACAAGTTTCTTTACGCCATTTGCCTCTGTCTACCCAGCAGTAATTGGGAACCTGGATGTTAATCGATTTGCGGATCGTATTCCGGGGTAATGGTTAGCCAGTGCAATTGGCGAGCTGTCTGATCTTCTCGGACTATTCCTTGACACTGGGTCATGCAGCTCGTTGTGTTGGCGGCAGCATCTACACCTTAAACAAATTCACGCCTAGGTGGCCCTTGGGCTGGCCATCCTCGTTACACGAGGGGCAACCATTATTTATATTTTATTTAAGGGTTAATTAAGTAAACATCTTGAGTAACACCGTCCTTGTACAGGGACCAAATTAGATACAGTATGATGTTACCTCTTGTTAATATTCCTCTTAACTTAATTTTTTTTTTTCCAGGTTAAATTTAGATGTAAAGTTCTTGGAGAGTTTAAGCTAGTCCTGGTTGTTCGTGATGACCTCAAGATGGGTAAAGGCAAAGTTGCAGTGCAGGTGTGTAGAGGATAATTTACTCATAGTGAACATTTACCTGATCTATATGTACTTCAGTAAACAATATTTATGTGAACTGCAAAATTTGAATTCAAGACTGTACTTTTTCTTGACGTTCATTCCTCATTGTCATCAACGTTTTACAGGAATTTTCACTTTCCTTATGTGTAACAGAAAGCATAATGTAAAGGCGGATGATTAGATAAACCAACATAAAACATTTTACTTAAGAACTTTAAACATTAATGCCAGAACTGTGATAGAGTAAAATTATACAATAGAGAGTTTAGAGAAGGTTCTCATTTTGCTGCTCCTTGGTATTTACAACAATGTGTTACAATGTTAATGTTTCTTAAAAGAAATGATAACTTATGAATTAATAGGAAGGTAATGAAATATATTCAGGTTTGGTGTTAAGATAATTTTACATGAGGAATCATATTATGATGTTTGTATATGGTAATCACCTATGTTCTCTCCACAGTGTTGTCACGCGACTCTGAAAGCTTACAAACAGATACAAAAGATGAATCCCAAAGTGCTAAGAGCCTGGGAGATGAATGGACAGCCCAAGGTAACACTTCATCACCAGAATTGTAAAGTAACTAAATAAATTTACTTGAGTACTGTACTCAAGTAACATTTTTGAGTATACAGTATTTACTTTTAAAAAAGTACTAAAATTATTTAGTTCTTTTACTTAAATGTTTTTTTTTAATTCTTTTACTCCAATACCTGTACAATTGAAAAAACAAAAATCGTTACTTGTTACATGCAAATTAATATGTGTGGTTGGAGGGTACGGTGTGGGTGTGGGGAGACTCCACGTAGTCATGTACCCGGAGGTTTTGTGAGATGAAGTACATGTACAGTGGTCCCTCGGTTAACGAACACAATTCGTTCCAGAAGGTCGTTCGTTAACCGAATCCATTGTTTCAATGGGATATTGGGGAATTGGTTCCAGCTCACCGAAAAGTACATACAAAGTAAAAAAAAATGCAGTAAAGTACACTTACTTTGAGGTGTGTATGTAGAGGGTTCCTGGTTGATGATGATGATGGGAATTAGAAGTGGGGTGGAGGAGAGGGGAAAAGAGAGGGAAGTGGGGATGGAGGAGAAATCACCTTTCAGGGAACCATGCAGTCATTTCACCAATAAATTTTTTTAGTACACTAGGTGTAATTCAAGATTATTTTCTTTAAATCAATACTGCACTGCACTATATATTATCAATATGTTAACTAAAGCTCAGAATGACCAATAATTTCAATGAAAAATGCAAAAATATTCAAGACACCAACAAAATAGATGCTCTCTCCATTGTAAACAAAGCCTCAACTGACGCCTTGTGACTGACTCACTCATCTGATGGGCGCACAACAAACTAGTTCCCTGTACTGCATATATTATCAATATGTTAAATAAATGTTAAAATGACTCATAATTTTAATATAAAACATGCAAAAATATTAAATAGCACAACTTTATTGATATTTACTCCACTGGAGACGAATGTAAACATAGAACAGATTACTGAATGGGCAGACTAGCCCATCAGCTGATGCTCACAACAAAACGTGATTTTCGTAAGGTTTTCGTTAATCGAATTTTTGTTCATTAATCGAATTGAAGATTCTTATGGAAGGTAATTCGTTAACCGAAATTTCGTTAACTGAACCGTTCGTTAACCGAGGGACCACTGTACCTAAAATGAATTTCAAAGAGGCTGTGATTCTAAAATGCTTTACATAATCCCATCTTAGATATAAAGCATGTTTCTGTACATATGTGTGAGACTGATTGTATTTAAAATTCTGCTTAAATATCTAAGTATCACTGCCCCCCCCCCCCAAGCACCTGCCAGATGTAACGCAGTGTGAAAAATTCAGCCACTCAGCAATTAGAACTGAAGTAATGTCACCACAGCTACATCCCAATTAGAGGGACAGTTCACTGCGAGTCTTAGTCATACTCAGTCGCTATGGAGGCAACAATCATTCAAAACTCAACTGAAGGAGCTTGATAGCTACTTAGCATTCCCAGGGGATAGAATGAAGCTACTGAGGTCTTTCCTGACATTGTGACTTATCTCTCAAGTGTAACACCCCACTACCTGCATCTGTTTAGTCATGCTGGGTTCATTATTTATTGTTTAATTAATTTATTACACCCCAGGGGAAAACAAAACCTAGTCACAAGACCATGTGGTCAGACACTTAAGCATTGTACACACCAAGATACATTGTCTAGAAACAGCCGTGCAACATTGTTTCTGGACTGTTGCGCGACAATCCAGAAACAGTCTTGTGACGGTTCAGAAACACTTGGGAGACACAGCAACATTGTTTCTGGACTCTCTAGCAACTATTGCGAAATAGTCCAGAAACAATTGGTAAACTTTGTTGCTGGACTGTCTCACGATTGTTCCGCAACAGTCGCGAGCAGTCCTGAAACACTGTTGCACGTCCAGACCAAGCTAGAGCGATGAATTGGCGGTAAGAGCAGTCAACGTCGTCATAGCGGTGGATGCACACGTGGCCTCTGTGGCGGGCCTGTGTTGTTATTTCCTTAGAAGAAAGAATGCTGAGAATAAGGAAAAGACACCGAGACAATGGTGGATGAAGAAATTTTTTGATGAAGGAACAACATATGGAGAGAAACTAATGACAAACCTGAAACTAGAAGATGCAGCTGGATTTAGAAACTTTTTAAGAACAACAGCTTCAGATTTTGAAATATTACTGAAAATGGTTGGTCCCAAAATCACAAAGTCAAATACAAACTATCGAGCCTCAATCCCTGCCAAAATACGCTTAGCAGTAGCATTAAGGGATCTTGCCTGTGGGGACTTATTTACAAGCCTGATACATACCTTCAAAGTGTCAAAACAGTCAATATCTGCCATCGTTCCAGAAGTGTGTGATGCTCTCATTGATGCCCTTTAGGAATTTTTAAAAGTAAGTTTATTAAAATATTTGACATTGTTAAGGGAGAAATTAATACTAAATGAAATTGCATAAAAAAACTGGGAAAATCCTCTATTGTGCCGTGCACATATCAATTACACACACCTACCTATAATACTATTCGTTGTTTTTCTTAAAAAAAATTTCTTCAAATTGAGCAACTTTGTATCATGTTTCCCATATAGGATGGGAAACAAGAAACATCCGAAATCGTGTTTCTGGACTGTTGCGAGAAACACGCATCAAATTTGGATTTTTCTGAAACAGCCTCGAAACAGTCCAGAGACAATGTTGCGCAACAACGTATCTCAGTGTGTACGCGGCCTAATACAGTGGTACTCGTATCTCGCAGGACATGCTATGACTTGTAATATGGAGACAACATTGATATTATTTAAGGACAATGGGAGTTAGCGCCCACCAAGACGTGGGTAGTGTACACGTATTAAATCTAAATTATTACGAATAAGTAGGTGGTGACAAAGTGGCTAGTGACTCTCCCTTTGGTAGGAGGTCCCTGACAATGAGACAGTCAAGGCAATACAGTAGTGTTGAAGGGTGTTAGCATTGGGACATTTACAGAGTTTACAGGAAGAGAAGTGCAGGTTACTCCCACCTCAGATACTTGCCATATAAATCTGTATCCTAACCTAATGCGAGCAGAGGCAACATTATGTCTACGGACTTTAAGTCCACATCGACGATACTTTTGTGGATAAGGAAGAAAGTGATCATAGTGTTGGGTGGATATATTTTCAGCCCGTTCACTATCCCTGCAATGGATTGTTGGGAGAAGAGAGGCTGAACGTATTCTGTTTTGGTAGGTCATGCTGTCAATAGAAAGATTTGCAAATAAACATGTGTAATGCTATGTGTTTTTTATCTTTATCTTTAGTTAACTAGTTTTTGGGTAATTTACTGTGGATTTACTTTAATATTTGAGACAACAATTTTGTTGTTAGTTATTATTTTGAGTACTTTATGAATGAGATACTTTTTTACTTCTACTTGAGTACATTGAACTTTGGATACTTTTACTTCTACTTGAGTAACATTTTGCCAATGTAACAATAGTCTTACTTAGGTAACTAAGTCCGGTTTCTTTTTACAATTCTGTTCGTCACAAATAATGTGTTGGACTTGATATGTAGTATTATTCTTTGGAATGATGAAAATGAGTAGATAAGAGAGACAGTTTCCACAAGTTGGGGGCAGGTGGTGCTGGGGACAACTTGGAATAGCTTGGTTTGTATATGAATTGTCTGGGTAATGTTATCACCAGTGGATCCTGGTGTCCATCTCATATAAAGAATTACTTGTTAGTATTAAAAATTTTGAGTACACACACTCCAAAAAGTATCTTTATGGAGGGGTCTGATGAATTTAAAAATGAATGCTACAACTCCTGTTGTCTTGGTAGGGTTGTCAAAATCCTTTATCTGTTGTCATATTATCAAACAAAAATGTTTAAAAATACCTTTTGGAGTGAGTGTAGAAGTAGTGTTAGTCAGGCTTAAAAAATTACCCAATTTTCCCAACAGGTGATATTGAAAGTAAATGACGAAGCCACCATGATGGATGTGACCTCACTGGCCATGGATGCTGGGATGATCACAAGCCTCATCCACGACGCCGGCTGCTCACAAATTGCCCCCGAGTCGCCCACGGTGTTAGGCTTAGGACCCGGCTCTGTAGAAGTGCTCGACCAAATTACTGGACATCTAAAACAATATTAGTGATTACTGTACAAAAGATACAGGTATACCTCAATAACCAACGCTTATGCGGACTGCAAGAGTCAACGGACAGCAAATCGAAATTTTTTTAATCCATAAATCCCATAAGAATATAACGAATTCAGGAGTTTAGGGACCAGCCAACCCCAAAAATTCACATCTACCCTTTTGATATATCTCTGTCATTCAGACTGTCACCAAGAAAAAAGCAGACATATAAAGCATGCATAATAAGCATTAAGTATGGAATGTAAGCTTAAATTGAGACTGTTACTCACCAGTATTGAAGCATTAAGTCACATAATCGTCATTCAGCCCCTCTGGCTGATGCTGTGGCTACTGTTTCTGCCATTAAGAGTTTTAAAAGATATCCCCACATACCGGTATTTCAAAAACAATTATGGGCTAGTGGAAATTTCTGTGGGCTGACAGAAAATGTTTAGATTCAGTAGGCCTGCTAACATGTGCACACCATCACTATGTTAAAGTTCCATGCCTATAAACCCATTCTATATGGCTACTGGAGAAATACAGTCATCTGCAGACATAATAAATGGCTTCTCTCATAATGAATTTTTTTGTTTGGTTATAAAAGTAGTACTACAATATGTAATGGAGGGAGGAGGAAGCGAACGATAACGGAGACATTACCCTCCATACAATGTATCCTTTTATTCTCAAGTCAAAATACAAATTATATATATTATCATTTTTTCTGTTATTGAAGACTATTGTATATTATTTATGACGTATCATACACCATAAGAGGCTGATCATGGTATAATATAATAATAATGGATCATAATCAGTTCAAAAGTTGGCCTTGACGATATTTGGCGGGAAGGGGAGAGATTGCCTTCTGATACATCTTGTTCTTTTAATTTTAAATCATATTATAAATTGTCATATTTTTTTCTATTTAATATATATTATTTATGAAGAAACATTAAAGAAACATACACCATAAGAGGCTGATCATACAAGAGTGTAATAATGACTAAATAACAACAAACTGGCAAACTGCGGACCCCTCCCCCTCCCTCCGTAAGAGTGGCCAGGGAAGGGGATTTGTTTGTGATTCGGCTTGTGTTTTAAGCCAAATTATAATACTGTTTGTAATTATTTATGATGAAACATACATCATAATAGGCTGATCATACAAGAATACAGGTACTACATAATAATGAATAAATAAAAACAGTCCCACACGTCGAGTGTTCATCTTGTACCTATTAGCGCTCATTAGGCCTATATCAAATCTGATTAGACCACACTATCCCCATTTAAGACTATATTACTCTACTTAAAACACTAGCCATCATTTATGGGTTAAACAAAAGAGTAAATATTGCTGGGCATGACTGCATAACACAAAGTCGAAGAGAAGAAAAAGGTGAAAATGTAAGAGAAAGAGAACAATATATACACTGTAGAGTCTTATTAAAAAATTAAAATCTACACAATCATGGCCAAAATTCGCACAACACGACCGCACGCCAAACGCAGTCGGTGAAACTTGTGGGGGTATTTTCCTAATATATGCAAAGTGGCAGTTAAGAGGACATTGTTTTAGGAGGTATACCTGTATTGATGTTAATAGTTTTCCATTTGTATATATACAATAATGTATTATCACCGTAAGTGACTTAACACAGTAGTTATTACTGTAAGGAATTTTGTAAAAGTTTTGGTTCTTTTATGATGAGTGTCAAGAAAGCTATGAAGATCATTTTTTGTAGTACCTGTAGTACAAATAGTGGTGGCAATCACATTGGTAGTACAGTATTAAAAGTAGCAGTTGTTGTAGTAGTACAGTACTGTAATAGTATTAGTCATATTAATATTATTAATAGCAGTTGTATTAATAGTATGTAGTATTAATAGTCATAGTCATAGTATTAGTGGTAGTTGGGGGAGTGTTGGTATTTTCTGTACAGCTAAAAAAAAATGAACTGAAAATTATAAAATTAACATTTTAGTCACATACATTCATTAACCTCATGTCCTTGGGGTTTATGTTTAGGATACCTCTAATTGACACCGCTGTGAGTGGGTACCTCACTTCAGCTGGGGTAATGAGGGCAGTTGAGTGCAGTGGCGGCCATATTGCCTCCTGGTGCACCGAGGCTCAGTGTACAGTTTCCGTAATGCTCCTAATGGGTCATCAGGCTTATGACGTCCACTCTTACCTTTAGCATACTACTGTCTGGGGAAAATTCCTTGGCACAATAGTAAACACTTTTAATATCTTCATCGCTCCAAGTCATTTTTTTATGGAGTTGTCTCTTTCATGTAGATGTTACTGGAAGTGTGGAAGAACAGTACCTTGCTCTCCCACCCCCGGACATTTATGGCTACCCACATTAACACTAGGAGACATATCTGAAGAAACATTATGCTAAAGCTGACATAAGTCACTGATGTTGTCACCAAATTGGCTACAAATAGACCCTTACTAATACAGGTAGTAGAAGTAGCAGAAAAATAGTAGTAGTATATGTACAGTGCTAGCAACAGGAAGGTTGAGGCATATCCCACTACAGTAAACCTTCGAAGATCCGGACCCGGGAAATTCAGATTTCGGAAGATCTGGACAAAAAATTTTGGGATTCTGGGCTAAGAAGCCTCCTAGAAGTTTCCCTAAGAAACATTTCCAAACCAGAGCAAAGAACAATTTAGTCCCGTGGGCGCTGCTTGACCCGTCAGTTGGTTGGACACAGGTGCCCAAGGCGGGAAACATAAACAGAGTTATCATAGGTAAATGCATGGTTAAATATGGTAATTTGTTTATCACTACATTAGTACTGTATTTTTGGTGTTTCTTATATCATTTATTATTTGCCGGAAAATTCGGACAATCGGCTTTTCCGGACAGGTGGTTCCCCCCTTTTACTCCGGATCTTCGAGGGTTCACTGTACTGTAATTGGGTTATCGATTTTCCTTGCAAATTTCTGGAATAAAAGCCATTAGTGCCCTAAGTGTGTGTGTGTTTAAGGAATTATATCAGGGACTAGAAGTGTTATTGCTTTACATTCATTTGGGTATTTCTGAGTGACCAGATGCCCCAACCTTAGAGTGTCTTTCATTTTAATGCTCTTTGTGTATACGTAGTACTGTACTGTATTACAGTACAGTGTTTTTAGTGTAAAGGCAATAGTGTCAGTGTCTTTCTACACAAGGTCCCTGTTGAGTTGGCAGTCATTCATATGGGATTGTCTGTCAGGATATAGATGTTCTGGGAGGCAAACTTCATTTCCTATGTTTTATGATTTTGATTATGAAGGAGGTGATTTAGTTACGAGATGCTTTCTACCCAGGATGGACAAACAGGTGAAGTTAAAGGTACCATTTTTTTTGCCCAGTGTCTGGAATAGAACTGTTAGGTGGCTGCTAAATTACATTCCTCTAAAACCAGATAGTCTTTTGATGACCTTCACATCCACCTACATGTAGATCTGTGACTTCTGGCTATCACAGTCCCATTGCTGTTGTCACCCACCTATTGTTACAGGGCTCGACATAGTTGGTGGAACCCTCAGTAAAAGCCTGCACGCGATAACTTTTGCTTAGGGGAAATGACACTGAGGGCACATACTGCACCAACACAAACTTGATTAGGTGGAGAACTCTGATCCTGGAGCTGTGAAAGAATCAGTTGAGAGATTACTTATACAGTACATATTTCTCCACCATTGAAGGCTTTGTGTTGAATTATGTGTCTGAAACTTACCCTCTGACTTGAGAGTGATAGAGAAGCAGTTTTATTGATAAACACTGCATGGCTACATATGGTACATAAAGCACATGTTTTCATAAATGTTGTTTGCTATGGTGGCCTTACCAAGAATACTGTTAAGTACCATGAGCCACATACCTCTGAGAACCATTGGAACATGTGAACTCCATCACAGCAAAGATCATGATCCGTTGACTACAGTATTGCCCTGCTAGTTTTGCTCAGCCACAAGATGAAACACTACAGTGCTGTGAGTAACAATACCTCTTATCATTAAACTTAAACACACAGTTGAAAAACCTGCTGAACACTCAAGGACAAAGAGTATGAATTTATTAACCAGCATAATAATAGGATATACAAACTGTCTTGTGAATATTTGCATAACTTTTGTATTTCAGTGAACGAACATTATGTTTAACAGTACGTACAAGGTGGGAACAGTAATTTAACAACCAGCACTTGATTACAGTAAATCAGTGCAATAGATCAAAAGGCAGATATGGTCATGGCATCGGTGAACATTTTTTGTTGAACCATCTACTACTGTTGGAAGGTTTAGTTCACCATCCTACACAGGGCAGTATCCAAAGCATGAGGGGGGAGGGGGCAGTATTAAACAAAACCCACAATAGACACCCACCAATTCATGATGCCGAGGCTAATGTACAGTTTTAATCACATCTTTCATAGGCCCCTAACCTAGTCACAGAATTCTTAAGTCTAAAAATCAAATATATTATCTACAGTAGAGTATGCTTGTATATATAATTTTTTTTCTGGGATAATCAAAGGAAAGAGCGGTTAGGTTAGAGACACCCAATAACCCCCTTGGATACAGCCCTGCTACTTTTTGATTTATGGGAGTGAAATGTGAGTATGTAAAGACCAGACTGACATATAGATTACAATCAGCATTTTAAGTCTCTATTTCGAGCTGGTTGTATTGAGGAATGAGAGAGCAGTGAGGAATACATGAAGCAGTAAAGGTTTATATAGAACACCAAGGATTATGTCGAATACAGTAATGAGGAAAGTATTTGGAATGGTGTGGAAGACATTGAAGAGGGAGATGGGTGGCAGGAACATGTAGAGAGTAGGAGTGAGAAGAAAAAGATAAGAAAAATGTGTATGGATGAAGAGAGAGAGAGAAACAGTCTACAATATCTGAATACCCTGGGACCTGGAGATGACCAGATAATACAAGACTAGATAACAAAATGGTCCCCAGGTACAGTATAGTACAGCTGTATACAGAAAACAAAATATAGGTTGAAGCTCCCACAACTGGCACTATTGTTTAGAAGTTCATATTTCTTATGTACTGTATATGTAACAGGTTATTGATACCTTTAAATAAACACCACTGTAGTTTATATAATTTTCTTTAAGTGTTTTAGGTGTAGAAAAACATAAACTGGTATAGTATACACGTACCCTGTATAATGTATCGTAATTAATTACCAATAAGGGTAGAATAAAACTTAAATAAGCACACCACTCCCCTCGGACGTGAATTCAAACAAACGAACTGAATGGTGGGAGCGATTGGTGCGCCACCAAAACATTAACAGCAAACTGGTGAAACTACGAGAAGGCGCCACTCAGAAGGTATGCCGGCAAGGAGAATTTTCCTCCACTTTACCATCCGACCGCACCGTTATTTAGGAGGTTTGCTGGGTAAAGGAATTTCCGAATCTGCCGTTTTTTGGGGGAGTTGCCGTATATTACAAAATCGGGTATGGGAGTTTAAACCTGTAGCCACAATTATAAAAAAAAAAGCTTTAATGTTCTAGCAATAACTACTGTACAGTACTTCCTTAAAAAAGCAGTACCTCTTGTGGTCTTCATACATTAGTTATCCCATAAAGTATCAGTCAGTTGACTTGCCAACACTATTAAACTCCCGACAATTCTTTGGTCAGGGTGTAGGATGCTTAATCCAATGTGTGTGTGCCTCTTGTTCAGAGTAGAAAAGAGTTTTACTTCAAAAGTTGTTGGAATACTGGAGTGTAATTACTAACCTTGTGCGTAGTAATATAACACTACTATTGTACTGAGGACCTTAGATGTCTCTGAGTCTCTACACCTGTTGAGGAACTTCCTGAAGTTATGATAGTTTTTTGTCCATTACTGTGAAGGGAATGATCCAATTCTCAGAGAAATGACACCAAAAGCAAGACTTGTTATTGGTTTGATTAGCACCATGTAGATCAACACACACCATCTGGTACAGGCTCACTAACTACCATGTCCAAGAAGTCGGGTGTACAGTAATTTCTGAACAAGAATTCTTATGAATAAAATACAGTAGATAAATGGGCTTTTCAGGTAACAGGCATCCAGATACCAATATGGTGATTGCTAAAGGATAAGAGTGAGGATGTTAGTTTATAGGGAGAGGTACAGTATACTGACAATAAGGGTGTTAGTATGTTGATGAGAGGTTTTAGACTGCAAGGAGTATGATATGTTGACCAGATGAGTGTTAGGGGCATCTTGGAGTACAGTATGGGTGAGAGGGATGTTAGTATGGTTTTATGTGGAGCACTATACAGTACAGGGACAATGTGAAGAAGTGTGAGTATGAGAGAGGAGTCAGTATGGAAGCACTGTATGGATAGATTTAAGGACTGTGTGATGTATACAGATGGGGGAAATATGATCAAATGTATGAGTTGACTTAGCATACTGTACCATTTACTAAACTAGCCTTATTCTACATACACCAAATTTTTGCACTTGATCAAAATAAAATACAAAACTTTAATTCTACACGTTGAAATTTCACCAAAATTCTTGGGAAAAAACCCATTCAAATATATTACCCATTATGTGGGTAAATGGACAAGGTGGTCAGTATAGGAGTTGAGCAAAAATGTTGCCTTACATAGATTCTTCTATATACAGTACCAAGTTAATCTGTTTGTAAGGATTCATATGTTTTGTGTAACTTGAGGACATCACTTGCTTAGAAACAAATGGTGGACTAAAAAGAAAAGAAAAAGTACTTCTTCTCATGGAAGGTGAGGTTGGTCCATGATGTATCAAGTCATCATGCTTAAACCTTGCTAGTAGTATTAAAGAAATTAGTGAAGGTGAAGTCAAAATTTTTCATAGATCACATGGACTAAGTTGATCTTAATACCCCTGACATTATAGTTAGTGACTAGCATTTTATCACTCGTGTTGAAAAATTTACTCTGTTTTGAAAGTTTGCCAAATTCAACATTCAAAACTGAAGATCTTTTACCTGGTGTGTTTGACTGTGTAACTGCTGCTGTTAGTCAGGTTACCAGATTCACCCATGAAAGATCTTGCCTTATGTTGATGTTCAGAAAAATCAAGATACAGGTAAACCTGGATAAACGATGTCTCGTTCAGCGATATTCCACTTTAACTATGGTCATGAACTAAGACCATCTCACTATACTATATGATAAAAAAAAAATCGCCTGAATGATAATCATGAATATCCATTGGTTGGAATTTTTTTTATCTCTAGTGGTATATGGGTTGTATACACTCAAATTAATCGGTCTTCCAAAAATTCCAGCAATGCAAATTATATTATTCTATGTCAGGCCAGTGACATTGTATAAGGAAACTATATTTAACCCTATGCACCATGCATATCTCGCTGCACTTGTCAGCTGTGGGAATCTCTACCCGCGCTCTACCACACGGCCGACCCACGCACTAGACCTCCTGCGCTTGGTACGTTCTCAATCGCATCTCCGCACCATCATGTAGCTCCATGATTATCGTTCAGCATTTTTGGCTGTATGTACATTATACTTGTCATCTGTGTTTTTTTTCTTGCAGTGAGAGGACAGCACGAACATTTACATTGAACTGTGTTATGGTGACTGAAGTGATATTTTGTGACTGTAAAGTGATTCGCCTCTGTTGTGAAAATAGTGCGAGAAGTGTCTGCCGCTATCACTGTTTTTATGTTCTCATCATTTGCTCTGTTTTTATGACTGGGAAGGGAGCATTGTAACTTTGAAAATGTCTGGGATGGCCAAGGCATCCAAGACAACCGTGTCTCTGAGGTGAAGCTTGACAGTGTGAAGCAGCATGAGACTCCCTAGAGGCTGTGTGGGAGTCAGAGCGACGTCTCCACTCCACCTGCATGAGTCCCCTTGGCCTCAAAGGGGACATGGGATGATGACCAGGCTTGTTCTTCATGATGTGGTGAGTGTTGTTTAATTGTTTGCTATTGGTTTTATAAGTGTTGGAATTGTTTTGTTGGTGATAGATGTGTATTTGGGGACTGGCTGGGAACATATCCCATTGAACCCCATGTTATAATGCTCCCTATGTACGACATTTCACTTAGTGATGAGTTTTCAGGAACCTGACGCCATCGTTCTTCGAGGTTTACCTGTACATAGTATATATTGCACACAAATATGAAAATTAATATACAGTACTGTATAAAGTTTCAAGTACATAGTCACTATATGTGTGACAGTCAACTGCAACAATTGAATAAAAATATATATTATTCCTTGTTTGTTTATTATAAAAATAGGATGTACAAACAAAGAAACAACTAAATTTATTAAGTCAAACATAACTACACACACACACGCACGCACATGGTACACTGTCTTTAAATTAAATGTGTTTGTGCTGAAGCCTTCAAGGGATATCGATCATTTTGCACACAAGGTATTTCTTACACATAAGTGAGTCGTTTCGTACACACATCCAAGGTAACTGAAATTATAATCTAACCCACTTCTTCTAAACCAAGGTAAGCTAGCTTGATGCCCCATTACTGACAATGCAGTGGCAATTCTAGGATTTTTTTTTTGGGGGGGGGGGGGCAAAGGCTCGGTAATTTCCCCAATTTGTGTGAATGAGGAAGCAACCAGACACCAAGAAAAGATTAGAGTAAGATGTGGACTGTGGTCATAACTCAAAACCAGTTGTAAGCAGCATGGAAGCCTTATCAAATTACTTAGAGGCTTAGATCTAAATATTTATTTGTAAATTCTACTACTGTACTGTATTGAGCAGTTTACATTTAGACTTTATGAAATAATGCTACCACATTCACATTGTAATTAAAAATTTTAAAATGTATAGTATACGCAGTTCATTGTAACAACAAAATAACAATTTACAGTGAAATCCTCCTTTTTTCACTGCTAAAACTGCTGATAACTTTGACGAAATCAAGGGTTTCTGCTAGGTCTCTCGATGCTAATCAAGACAAGAGCAGATAAATGCTCTTCACCCATGGTTTATCTCGAGTAGGACTTAAATAGTTTTAGTTTACAAAAGTCTCTCTCTCTCTCTCTCTCTCTCTCTCTCTCTCTCTCTCTCTCTCTCTCTCTCTCTCTCTCTCTCTCTCTCTCTCTCTCTCTCTCTCTCTCTCTCTCTCTCTCTCTCTCTCTCTCTCTCTCTCTCTCTCTCTCTCTCTCTCTCTCTCTCTCTCTCTCTCTCTCTCTCTCTCTCTCTCTCTCTCTCTCTCTCTCTCTCTCTCTCTCTCTCTCTCTCTCTCTCTCTCTCTCTCTCTCTCTCTCTCTCTCTCTCTCTCTCTCTCTCTCTCTCTCTCTCTCTCTCTCTCTCTCTCTCTCTCTCTCTCTCTCTCTCTCTCTCTCTCTCTCTCTCTCTCTCTCTCTCTCTCTCTCTCTCTCTCTCTCTCTCTCTCTCTCTCTCTCTCTCTCTCTCTCTCTCTCTCTCTCTCTCTCTCTCTCTCTCTCTCTCTCTCTCTCTCTCTCTCTCTCTCTCTCTCTCTCTCTCTCTCTCTCTCTCTCTCTCTCTCTCTCTCTCTCTCTCTCTCTCTCTCTCTCTCTCTCTCTCTCTCTCTCTCTCTCTCTCTCTCTCTCTCTCTCTCTCTCTCTCTCTCTCTCTCTCTCTCTCTCTCTCTCTCTCTCTCTCTCTCTCTCTCTCTCTCTCTCTCTCTCTCTCTCTCTCTCTCTCTCTCTCTCTCTCTCTCTCTCTCTCTCTCTCTCTCTCTCTCTCTCTCTCCTCTCTCTCTCTCTCTCTCTCTCTCTCTCTCTCTCTCTCTCTCTCTCTCTCTCTCTCTCTCTCTCTCTCTCTCTCTCTCTCTCTCTCTCTCTCTCTCTCTCTCTCTCTCTCTCTCTCTCTCTCTCTCTCTCTCTCTCTCTCTCTCTCTCTCTCTCTCCCTTACAAAGTGCAGGATTTAACTAATTATTTTTCCAAATTTTTCTCAGGAGGGACATTCTGTCTTAGTAGCTATGCCACTGCAACAGTTCCAATAAACACATCATGCTGAAGACTGGGTGGAGAGGCTGGCACTGCAATCTGCCTTCATTTTCCCAATTATACATTTAGGTGCCCATTCACAACTGGGGTGCCCTGGATGTGAACCAACAACCCTAAAGCCCGGGGGTGTTTAACTAACATATGAACCGACCCATATCTTGTGTAAGATGTGACCAGGTCTCCAGTGCACAGAATGACCATCATCCTCTTTATGTAATGGTAAATGCCCTCACATTTCCATAAATAAAAAAAAATAAAAATATGAAACGTATAAATATAGAAGTGATTTTCGAAGTACAAAATATTTTCCTGGAACAAATAATGACATTATATCACAGAGTACATAACATAACAAACAAACATGACCCAATGACTGGCATAGTTCAAACTTGACCACTTATTGAGAGTATGACTCATGCTGTATCCTTCCTCTTGCTGCTGTGATGAAGAGTCAAACATGATGCCCAGGTATGCCAGATGAAACACTGTCAACGCTCCAAACACCAGATTTGTTGATAAACTGAACCACGACCACGCTGAAATGGGCAATAAGTGAAGTTTGTACATAAGTTCTTATTATTATCACAATTATTGTGAAAATTATTTTTTTTATAATATCACGGCACAATCTTAAACTGTAAATAAAATCTTGTAGCAACTTTCCTACTAAGACTTGAAGCTCCTACGGATGTTCGGGTAATGGTTTTGTGTGAATTTAACGTTAAATAAGCTTACTGTCGGGTAAATCATGGATTTCTTATGATAATTTGTATAATATATGATTCATGTGTAGAAAAATATAAAAGGTGAAGGTTTATTACTATTACAAAAACTGTACAGTAGTCTGATGAATGTGAGTGGCCATCAGATAGTTTCACAGAGTTGAGACAAGCTGACTATTCGAGTCATTTAGTTTGAATCTCTCGTAATTTAGTAAATAAACTAACAATTGATTACCATTGCATTTAACAATTAATATGAAGTAACACCGAGTTAAATGAGTATACAGAAAGCCCGGATAATTTGCGGATTTTTATTTGCCGGTCCTCTACTGTTATTAATAAAGCACGGAGTAGACATGAGTGTAGACTCAACATTTTTAATACGTCATTTGTTTCTGATTATTCGTGAGAGGATTTTCCCATTATTATTTATTTGTATGTGTTTTGTGTGTGTGTGTGCGTGTCTACACATACACACACACACACATATACGCAACCACCCCCCCCCCCGCCCCCCCTATCAGCAAATATTATTCACAGATTTGGTGATTCGCCGCCATTCTGAGAACCTAACCCCAGCGAATTTGAAGGGTATGCTGTACATTAATTTAATAAGTTAATTACGTGTGATGTGTCAAACGGGATTTGTTTTCCCACGCTTTGTGTCAAGACATTGACAGTCAGAGCTGTACACACCCAGAAAGGGAACAACTACACATCTTACAAGATTCAAGCTATTGTGTTTTACTTTACTAACTGTTAAAGTACCTCAATGCTACTAGAAACAGCCGGTTGAAGTCTTCATAGAGCTTCATTCGACACTCATAAACCCTTCCTATGATAAGCTAAGTATCTGAGAGAATTGTTAAGAGAAAGGTAAATTTTTGGGATACGGTGGACAATGAGCTCCATTTTACTTTCAATAAATTTATTAACAATAGTGTGTAAGCCATACTTACCACAATTATCTTCATATTAAAAGACACCATGGACTAAGTTTTCCTCATTCCTTTCTATATGGGTAAGATGTTGCATTATCACATACTGTACAGTACCTTTCAGTTTATGAGAACAGTTGTCAGGACACGCTCTGGCTAGTATGCAGGCGTTGAACACACTTGCCAACTTGGCCCGTAGTGAGTATTCCACAAATGTATAAAAGCCCAGAGAGAGAAGCACAGCGGCCAGCTGGAAGTTGAGGCCGTGGAAGAGAGAGGACATGCTGTACGTGAACAACAGTGCACAGAAGATCCCCAGATGGTTCCGTGCTGTCTTAAACACATCTGGGAGAACAAAAATACTCATAGGGCAACAGTAAACATAAAAATTATTTAAAGATACTAAAATATACAAATTACTCTTTATAATATAAACTGTATACAATATAGAAATTTATATTAAACTATATACTGTAATTGTCATTTTCAGTAAACCCTTGCTATTCGCAGGTTTGCGATTCACAATTTTGACTTCGCGGTAAGCAGATAGTGGCCATCTAACAAGCCTCTCCCGCAGCGCAATGAGTCACCCCCACAGCCCCTCCTCTCCCTTTGTTTGCACTCAACCATTGCCTGCGACGCAGCATCTCTTGTGTTGTACTCAAAACTTTAGTGTGTGTGTGTGAAATGGCCCCTAATAGACTGACTAGTGTCAATGCTAGTGATGTTAGGAAATGTTTAAAGACCTCAAAGCCAGAACAATTGGTGCAGAGCACTTCCAGGAATGAGAGATTTCTGGGTAACGAGACAACTCTCAAAGCCGGAAAAAAAAATCCCTCATCCCCAGAATTTTCCGGGTAACGGAAAAATGTTCTTGAAAGTTCAGAGATTGTGAATTACATCACCATTCAAACCCCCAAAATTATCCCCCATCCCTGGAATATTCCAGAATTTTCCCGATACCAAAACACTATTCTCAGAATTTCCAGAAAAATGTGCCTGATTTTCATCTCTCCAACCCGGAAAAAAGTCCCCCATCCCTGGAATTTTTCGGGTACTGGGAAAATTTTCTCATAATTTTCCAGAAAATGTGCCCCTTGGAAAATCGTTCCCAAAGCTGGAATTTTCCAGAAAATTCTGGCTTTGGGAACAATTTCCTGAGAAAATTTCAATTCCGGCTATCGGAGAGTTCTGGTTAAGAGGGATTCCGGCTATCGGAGATATTACTCTACCAAATGTTTTTCAAGAAAGAACCAGCCGCTCGCCCAGCTGATTCACCTCCCTCACCTACTCGGTCAGCTGCTGCCACCGCTCCACCTCCCCGCCACACGCCTCTCCACCAACCACCACTCTTCCAACAGTGATCCTGATGATCTCTGTGTTTAAGTAAAAAAAACCTAGATTTGATTCTGCTGTACAGTACACTTCATCAAGCTCCAAACTTGTGCACACAAAGGTAAGTAGTATTGGTGGCTTAGTTTCTCATAAACAGTACATGTACAGTATAATAGTGCACTCAGGTACAGTATATCTTGATTTAACCAACAAATTCGAGCCAACCCTGTTTGTTAAATCAAAATTTCCGCGAAATCGAGCTTTCCGTTATGTTCACTGGATTTACAGAACTATTTCACTAAATCCGCTCAGTCTGTGTCCTGCCGCCACTGCGTTTATTTTTCGCTGCTACCTCTCGGTCAACTTTCTGCACTGGAATACCTTAGCTAAAGGACTAAAAATTTTATCTTTTGTGCAAACTATGAGATGTTCATATTCAATTTGATTGCTATGTTACAAGGATTGCAGCAATGCAAATTATATTATGGTAAGTCAAGTCTGTGACAATTTATAAGAGAAAAACTTTAAGCCTAAAATCACCTTCATCCTATAAAATCCTTACCACCAACATCTTGCCTCCCCTACTGGCTGGGCGGAGGGGGAGGTGGGGTGTTGACAGCCAGGAGGGGAGATTACTGGACAGTTGTCAGTAAGGGGGGTCTGGGACTCAGGATTATAAAAGGCAGGGAGTTAGCTTATAAAATGTTACTGACTTGACTTAGCAGAATATAACTTGCATTGCTGGAATTCTTGCAAGATAGTGATTAATTTGAGTACTTAGTATAAACATCACATAGTTTGCACTAGACATAAAAATGTAGTAATTCTCTTAGTACATTTGAGTACAGGTTGCGATAATTTATGCATTGTCTAAGTGCAAAAGTAACCAAATTGAGCCATCATGTACCAATTAATTTTAAAATAGAAATTATAAAGTAAAATGTGATAAGACAATGGTTTAGTAGTGCTGTTAATGTGTGTTGTGTGTCACCTCACCTACTGCCCCATCACCTCACCACCTGAATATACTCACTTTACACTAGCTTGGCCCAGAAGCCACGCCCCCTTTCTACGCTAAAAAGTAGCTGATTGTTCCATAAAAAGTGTTCGTTTACCTCTGCATTTATCATACTAATATGTTCACAATTTATAATTAGACCTGTTCTTCTCAATAATAAAGTTAAAAATTACAAACATAAAATGCAAATGATTTCAAGGCATTAGCACTTCAAAGACGATGCTAAAAATTTTAAAATATGAACGTATTACGAACGGTCGAAGTCAAGGACAAAAGTTGCATTCGAATTAAATCTATCTATCATTTCTTTGTTTTGTAGCAAACAGAAACAAATAACACCAAACATATAGCACAATAGACAATTACCTACAGTTTGTAAAGACTAGATATATCGCAAATCAATGTTTAACTGAAAAAATTGAAAACATACGTGCAGTTTGCGGGGAGGTACGCTCAGGGGAGCAGTCACAGGGATGGAGCGAACTGTAGAGTTGCCAACAACCTTTTACACCAAGGCGTGGCAACTCGGAAGGAGTGGTAAAAACTTTCAAGAATCCATGCTAAAAATTGGGCTCCTTGTGATAGATTTGCCGCTCCTTCCGAGTTGCCGCGCCTTGGTGTAAAAGGTTGTGATTTTCTCACCATTTACTCATATTTTCCGGTAATTGCTTTATATCATTATTTATTGTTTTTATACATTTAGTACATTTGCTATAGGCTGACATGAGTTTTACTGTGTCATGTGTCTAAGGTGTCTCCATAGGTGTGAGCGAATCAACGGAATTATTTTCAATTTAGCGAACTAGTTCACTAAACTGAGCGAAAAATATTGGAAAAAATGCCTTCCACTAAATCAAGAGTTCGTTATAACAGATTCTGTTAAATCAAGAGTATACAGTAAACCCTCGAAGACCCGGACCGGGTAAATCCGGATTTTGGAAGATTTGGACAAAAAAATTGGGGGTTCTGGGCTCAGAAGCCTCCCTAAGAAGCATTCCCAAAACAGGCTTTTAGGCTTAAAGTTTCTATCTTATAAAATGTCATTAACAAAACTTAGCAGAATATAACTTGCATTGCTGGAATCCTTGCAAGACAGTGAATAATTTGAATATATAAAATCATATATTTTGCAGAAGAGATAAAAATTTTAGTCCCTCAGTGCAGTACATTTTAGTACAAGTTTTTCAACTCGTATTTTTGGGTAGATATACGTAACTTTCTTCATTTACATGCACACACATCCTAAATCCATATTGTGAAAAAAGTAAAAGAAATAATTGTCCTAAGGGCAGATCTGTACAGTACTGTGCTTAAATGTATTGATTACTAAAATTCTTAGGTCTAGTGCAAACTATAGCATGTTTATATTCAATTAGCCACCATCTTACAAGAATTCCAGCAATGTACGTTATATTCTCCCAAATCAATTCAATGATATTTTATAAGTGAAAAACTTAAACTACATCTATGTGACAGATAAATATATACCACTAGGTAACCTTCACTGCCGGCTGGTCAATACCTCACCTCACCTTCCCCTTCCCAGGGGTGAAGGTAGTTTTAGGCTTAAAGTTTTTATCTTATAAAATTTCACAGACTAAACTTAGCAGAATTTAACTTGCATTGCTAGAATCCTTGCAAGGTAGTGAATAATTTGAGCTTAGACATTACATATTTTGCAAAAAAGAAAAAATTTAAGTCCTTTAATGTAGTACAGTACATCGAGTACATTGAGTACAGTAATATGTTGCTCAAAATTGTGGCTTTTTCACATGAAAAAGTCTGCATAACTAACCCCTGTAGTCAGGATAATATGTACTGTATTTTTGGTGTTTTTTATATCATTATTTATCGTTTTTATACATTTTGTACATTCGCCGGAAGATTCAGACAATCGACTTTTCCAGACAGGTGGTCCCCCCTTTTAGTCCGGATCTTCGAGGGTTCACTGGACCGTAGTATATGTTGCTATTTGCGGTTTTGCCAATCCCCGCTATTCCTTGGAACTTAACCTCCGTGAATAGCAAAGGTTTACTGTATTGGTAAGACATTTTCAAATAAAACTAAAATGAATGAACTTACAAGTCTTGAGCCAGTGATGCATCGGCACATTCCAGGATATGACAACTTCAACAAGGGAGCGTGGCATCTCCACCTGGTGCGGTCTGGCAACTCTTCCTACATCTAAACCAGCAAGGAGGGCAGACACTTCGCTCAAGTACGACACAAAGTAGTGACTAAATCTAAAAGAGAGAGCATCTCTGTATGCTATTCCCCATCTGTGAAAAAAGAAAAAAAAAAGATGTTAGTCTGCATTTCTGAACATATACAGTACTGTATCTATATTAATACCTGTAAATTATTCATGAGGTACTGCGGAATACAGGTGCTCCTCTACTTACGAATGAGTTTCGTTCCTGAGGCTTAAAGTCCAATTGTTTGTAAGTCCAACTTTACACTTGTAGATACCAAACATATTGTAAAAAATTAAAAGATACGGATATTTAGTACAGCTATACCCTTTAATAAAGCCTTAAAACCTGGCTCACTCTTCTCCTCTTAGGTAATGTTTGTTCTATCTGGAATTTTCTTCAAAATAATCCAGTCTCATCCACATTAAACACCTGTTCTGGCAGGTAACCCCCTTCAGTGACGATGTTTGTATCTCTGAAAGTTTGTAAGTTGAACGTTCTTAAGTAAAGGAGCACCTGTACTGTATTTTCAAGTATCCTTAAGATCCAAACTTAAAGAATGAGTATTTATTTAACTGAAGAACACCTCCATCAAGATAACTATTCTGTGATTTTGTCCAACAGAATCTTTGCTAATCTGATTCCTAATTTAGATTTTTTGTATACCACCTGTATACAAGTAACAAATTCTGAAACATGGTACAGTATATGATGAAAGGGCATTTGGTTACTGTATTTATCTAACTTCACTTGGTCAGCGTTGATCCTAATGGCGACATAACTTCTCTGTATACCATACTGGATTCTAATAGTTCTATATATCTTATTAATGTTGGGAAAAGACTTAGAAGTTGCATCGATACCACAATTATGAATTACCAAAGACAGAATCCAGCATACTTCATCACATACAGGCCTCACTGTCAAAATATAACCCAACTTATCCTTCATAAATGGTTGTGGGAGTACCCAAAATATTGCTTGTGAATGCACAATTTAACATTCATTATATGACATGGCCAGAGGATTGTGCTGGATAAGGTTGCAGAGATACATACATACAACAATAATCAAGACTTTTCACAGCACAACATAGCATAGCACAGGGGAGATGGTACTATCAGCAACACAAACTCCCACACTGGCTATCATTGTCTCACCAGTATTGTACCTTAAAGAACAAAAATGTTGATTTACCTGCTGAGTGAATCGGGTAACACCCAGGAGGTGTAACAAGTGGACACCAGCAAGAATATAACACAGGTTGCTAGCCGAACCAATACAGCAGGAACCATCCACACATTCTGTCAATAACAAGATCCAACTTATTGTAGATAAATATATTTGTACATTATAATGATACCAATACCAGAATTAATTGCAACAGAAATTCTTAGATCATTTATTTTAGCTGGCATTTAAGATTAGAAAATTCTCAGGATTATAAGTTCCTCTGCCTACAGCATTGAGTACTGTATGGTAAAAACATGAAGATTGAGGAGGTTCTTATTCTACCCTTGGGGTCTCTGTCCCTGATGAAGATAAGATACATACATGAACTTCCCTGACTACAGCTGTATCAACCAAGACACCTTACCCATGATAACGGCTGTAAAACTTTCTGGTAGGAGCTAAATGATAACCAGGGTCCGAAAACGACAGTGCCGGGGTTCATGAGGTAGCCCGCCATAGCTAGAGGGTTGGGGGGACTGTACAAGGCTGCAGAGTCCAGGTCATACCCAACAGACACCATCTTCATCAGGAGGATCATCTGGGGGCCTCGGATACTGTGCCAGTCGACCGGGTCAGCCCACCACAACTCACTGAGGCAAAACAAAAAACTATAACAATGTAATATGTGTAACATACAAGCAATACTACATTTGTAATCAAATCTAACTTATATTATAAACTTGACCAATATTGGCAGAGGTACAAATACATTCTGAAGCTAGTACATGCCCAGTACTTGTCAACAATGTGTAACTGAAACATGACCAACAACCCAAGTGCTAACAGGCCAATCAATGGTGAAGAGGATAAAGTAAAGAACGAAAGACACACACACACACAAACGAAGGATATACAAGTACAAGTTGACGACCCCTTATCCGAAAACTGAAAACCGAAAGTTTTTTGTGGAGCACAGGTCACTGACCCACATCAGGGCCTGCGGGCCGAAAGTGTAATAACAATTATTCATAGTAAATAAAATTTATAATAAAAAATACACAAAAATAAAATAATTATGATAACAATTATAATAATAATAAAATTAATAATAACAATAATACTGTAATAATAAAATAATAATAATAATAATTATAATAATAATAAAGAAATACAAGAATGAAAAAAAGATAAAAAGTGAGAAACACGACCTAGATCTGTGAATTATTATTATTATTACTATTATAATCATTATTATATTTTAGCCCCCCAGGCCCCAATGTGGGTCAGTGACCTGCGCCCAGGTGGGCTGATCCCTGTATAAAAAAATAAAAATAAAAAACCTAACCTAACCATGCTGAAATCTGAAATGCACCTGGTCCCAAGGATTTCGGTATAAGGGATTGTCAACCTGTACAGTATTACACTTTTCATGATAAAAACAATTGTGATCATCACTGTGAATAAAATACAAAATTTACAATATTTTGGTAACTAAAAGTTCATCTTTCATCCTAACATGATTAGTAAATAAAGTTCAGTATTCGAAATTCACTTTGTATTATGTAACTTGCCATAAGGAGCATCAGCAACTGTAATAAATCCTCATTCTACTCTGCTTGTAATTTAGATAAGTAATCAAACACATACGAGGTCTGTCCAAAAAGAAACCGAACTTTTTAAATAGCGCACCAACGAGCCGGCGCAGCGTGCTTGCGACGGGAGCGCTGTGTAGCGGTGACCTTGACCTTTAGTCTAACACTAGCCGCACCACGCCACGTCAATTAGTCATCGAGCTACACGCGCTAGAGTGAATGTGTGTTAAATGCACTTGGCAATTTGTTGCAAGTTGAACAATGAAGGATCTTGAAGAGCAACGTGTTTGCGTGTAATTCTGTTTCAAATTGGGAAAAACTTTTAAGGAGACTTTTCAAATGGTGCAACAGGCTTATGGGGAAGATTGTGTGAGCCATACGCAATGTCACGTGTGGTGCCAGCGCTTCAAAAGGGGAAGAACATCCACCAAAGACAATCCCAAATCTGGAGGTCAGATTCGCTCAAATGCGGAGGTGATGTTGATCGTCTTTATTGATTGGAAGGGCGTCGTTCATCATGAGTTTGTTCCACGTGGTCAGACAGTCAATAAAGAGTTTTACTAGGAGGTCCTGAAGCATTTGAGGGGGGCAGTGCGAAGGAAGAGGCCTGAGGCGTGGACAAACAAGACCTGGATGCTGCACCATGACAATGCACCTGCTCACGCGTCGTTCCTTATCCGTGACTTTGGCGAAGCACGAGACGACTATCGTCCCCCAGCCGCCCAACTCTCCGGATTTGGCTCCTGCGGACTTTTTTTGTTCCCAAAGTTGAAATCCACGCTGAAAGGTCGCCGATTTCAGACGATAGAAGAGATAGAAGAAAATTCGCTACGAGATCTGCACACCATCCCTCAAAACGCGTTTCAGAACTGGAAAAAACGTTGGGAGCGGTGTATCAACAGTGGAGGGGAGTACATTGAAGGAGACAAGTCTGATTAAGTTATAAGCAAAGCAATAAATTTGTTTTTAAATAAGTTTGGTTTCTTTTTGGACAGACCTCGTATAAGGTAATTCAGATTTATATTTGAGAAGTGACCTCGACTCACACCACAACTCATAGTGTGTCCTGCAAAACATGAGTACTACAGAACTTTATTAGTGTCTGCCTACATGGTCTTGTGACTAGGCTTGTTGCCCCCTGGGGTGTAATAAATTAATTAAATAATAAATAATTTGAGAATAATTTAACTTGATCATTAATTGTGTTGAGTTTTGTTAAAGTGTCACATAAATCTCTTACCAAAAGACTATTTCCTAAAACTTTATTTATGACAAATTTTCATAATCTGACATTGAGAGATTCTGTTCACCCGTTAACTGATGGCCATCATCAATGGAAGTTAGCCACAGGGCTGGTGGCCATCATCAATGGAAGTTAGCCACAGGGATGGTGGCCATCATCAATGGAAGTTAGCCACAGGGATGGTGGCCATCATCAATGGAACTTAGCCACAGGGATGGTGGCCACCATCAATGGAACTTAGCCACAGGGATGGTGGCCACCATCAATGGAAGTTAACCACAGGGACAGTGGCCATCATTGGTGAGAGTCATGTTCCTTGGATTCAATTTGGCACATACAGTATAGTGTGGGGGAGAGGTGGGTAGGAATCCTTGGCTGCTGATAAAGGCTTCAACAAAAGTTATACAGTGGTCCCTCGGTTAACGAACACAATTCGTTCGAGAAGGTCGTTCGTTAACCGAAAATTTTGTTAACCGAAAATTTTGTTAACCGAAAATTTTGTTAACCGAATCCATTGTTTCAATGGGATATTGGGTAATTGGTTCCAGCTCACCGAAAAGTACATACAAAGTAAAAAAAAAATGCAGTAAAGTACACTTACTTTGAGGTGTGTATGTAGAAGGTTCCTGGTTGATGATGATGGTGGGAATTAGAAGTGGGGTGGAGGAGAAGGGAGAAGAGAAGGAAGTGGGGATGGAGGAAAAATCACATTCTAGGGGACCCATGCTTGATGGAGTCATTTCACCAATAAAATTTTAAGTTCACTAGGTCTAATTCAAGATTACTGTATTTTCTTTAAATCAACATTGCACTGTGCTATATACATGTATTGTCAATATGTTAAATAAATTTCAGAATGACCAATAATTGAACTGTAAAAATTTAAAAATACTCTGTGTTCAAGAGACCCACAAGCAAGATGTTTCCTCCACTGAACAGAGACACAAACTGACGCCTTGGTGGGTGAGTGAAGTGGCTAATGGGCGCACCAAAATCTAGTTCCCTGTACTGCAATTATGTTAAATAAGTGTTAAAATGACTAATAATTTTAATATAAAACTTGGAATAATATTGAATAGCACAACCGTCTTGACAATTACTCCAATGGAAACGAATGTAAGCCCTAGAACCGATTACGGTACTGTATTGGCGGACTAATCTACCAGCCAATGAGCAAACCAAAACATGTCAAAATGTTTTCGTAATAATTTCGTTAACCTAATTTTTGTTCGTTAACCGAATTGAAGATTCTTATGGAAGGTAATTCGTTAACCAAAATTTCGTTAACTGAGGCGTTTGTTAACCGAGGGACCACTGTACTGTAAAATTATAACTCACCAGAAAATGAGGAACACCACACACACCCCACAGGTCCAGGGTCCTCGACGACACCCAAAACCAAAGTGAGAGAGGACAAGGGCGAGGCCTCCCACACCAGCCAGACACGCCATGTATCCAGTGCGGAGGCCGAACATATCCCAGGCCACCACACAGCCACATGCAGCGGACGCCAGATGAACAAGCCATGCAGGGGGACGCACTATAGAGGGGAACACCAGGACATATGTCACTCAATATACAGTATCACCTACACTTGTATTAACACTGAGGGTGCTTTTATTATTTATGGTCTCAATACTTTTTTTTATTAAAACAAAAGAGGAAAGGGAAGGTCATGCTTTACTGAAATATTTCAATTGGGATATAATACTCTAAAACATTTACATTTCTTGCCAGTTTTATATTTTAACATATTTAGCCACACAATATGAGGCAGTACAGTATATGAGGAAGTATCTACTCACTGTGTGCTGGTTACACTATTCAGTACAGTACTTTGTTGATTAATTTCATGTAACTCAATTTTCTCAGTTCCTTTGTAAATTTCTGTTCAAAGTTTATTAATTAAACTGTATAATGTTCTTAGTCAAGGGCAGTTTTATCCTTTACTAAATTTAGCTAATAATATTTTTTTATTATTATAATAGGTCTTAGTACAAAACTACTGATTTCAAAATAAAAGAATTTCAGATTAAAAAAAAGTAAATTTTAAATCAAATCCGTACAATGACGACCACACACAACAAAGTACACTGTTTTCACTCAATATCATTTAAACAATGTAAAGACAGATACCACTTCAAGACCTTTTGTGAATTAATCAAATATAACACTTAGTAAGACTTATAGTGTACTGTACAATCTCCAGTACAGTGAGTGAATTGCCAATTGTATTCTAATGTGCCAAGAGCAAGACATTCCACTAGGTTTTCATGGAAAGTCACAAACAGGCTGTGCTCAATAGTAGTAAAGTACAGCATGACATTTTACTGCTATTATATAAAGGTAATCAAGGGTTGTGGCAGGACAGGGTAAGTCATGTGTGAACTTGAGAGGGCATTATGTGTTAAAGGCCTACATCATCAAATACAGTAGTCAGATCATAAAAGGGTCCTACACTTAGTAAGGTCTAATTATTAACCTCTTTATGGTTCAAGTTAAGTACATGTGTTAAAAGCAGTTCAGTAGGAGTGGTATCATTACGGCCAAGCATTTAAAAACACCTACTCACGGACGACTGTTGTTAGAGAAGTAGTTTGTTGGCTTCATATGATTTCGTCATACCTTCCCTCTCTCTCTATAATTGGCTCCTTCCCTTCAAGCCGTCACTGAATGAGCTGTCAATAACCAAAGATTTAAGGAAGGTGGTGGGAGGTGGGTGGGAGGGAGTTGAGGAACTTACTGTGGGAGGAAGGACTGTCCCATTCTCTGAAGGAGCTTATGGAAGGAGAACATATCAAACACTGCAGGTATTCACACCAATAATAGCTACACATCTCTCCTTGAGGAAAGTTAACAGTAAACCACTCCTTGCTGGCTCGAACATTATGCCAAGACATAAAAAAATTACCAACTGTCTCATGGGCTAAACTTTCCTTCTTTATTAGTTTCAGAAACACTTTTGATAAATTGTTGAAAAATGATCCAAATGAATTTTGTATTTTATATATATTTTTTATAGTGATTTACCATAAACCATATGTACTTCAACAGATGTAAATATTAATTTGTTTGGTGATGTTTGATCTTAGAGAAATCCCAGAAATTCAATCATTCTTTTCAGCAATGTCACTTGTGAGTACAGTACAGTACAGAAAGGTACATTTTTTCAAGTCAATACGTGAGGTGAGGTTTGTCTTTGTATTTAACTGTAACAGCTTCTGAATCTGAGTGGAACACTGTAAATCATTCTACAGTATTGATGACATTTCTTCACACCAGGCACTAAAGTTTCACCTGAAATTTCATTCCACTTTCACTGTTTCTAACACCTGAGGTGCACAGTGAGTCCTTAACGAGCTTCCCCACCTGACACGACTGACGAGAGGATCATGCTTGCGGAAGTTATGAGTCAATCAATGATTACGGAGGTGCCACGAAAGATGTTAACCCCTTATATACAGGTTCTCCACTGAGCTGAATAAAATTGTCTGTCATTACCCAAATAATATATTAAAAGTGGCATCCCAGTAGTGAAGGGGTTAAGGCATGGCACTGTTCTGAAGTACAGTATCTTGTGAATGTAGTGAATGACAGGAGAAGGACAACTGTGTACTGAACAGTAAGTGATGAGTAATGTGAATGAGTGCAAAGGATTGAGAGGAAGCTATCCAAACATGACAGAGGAAAGTTAAGTCACTGTCCAGTGAAGAAAGTTAAGTCAAGTTCACCAAGGAGAGTAAGTCACTGTCCATTGAAGAAATTGTATCACTCACCAATGAGGAAAGTTAAGTCACAGTTTGGAAATAAAAAGGAATTTCTTGTTGCTCCTCTCTTGTGTTCACAATCATTAAGCAGGAAGACTACTCTACAGTACTGTACCATGTCCTACTACCAGACCCTGCTAAAAATAAGCATATGGTGGCTTTATTGGCTGTCCTTGGTCGAATTGCCTTACTGTTTACCACTGTCTAGGTTTACTGTACATTGTTTGTACATCTGCAAGGCCTACCGGTATGTACACTGTATCCCTGCATCGTCTACAGTATGCTGAACTGTATAACTGCATTATCTGTATACATGCTGAACCAAATGTAAACTTATATGATGATTTTACTGAAAAAATATCTCTACCCTAAATACAGCTAGCCAATTACAGTATGTCTGTGTCTGCCCAAACTATCTATTGTTTCACTTTGTCTGGTTGAGGCTGAGATGTTGAGGAAGTTCCCAGGTGTGAGGGACCTTTTGTGGGAAGTTCCTGAATAAATCACACAAGGAAAATAAAAAATACACCACCACTTGTCCTGTAGCTGTGGGATTATTTTGTTATACTGTACTAAAATTATGTCAAGGTCAGACAGATATACAGTAAAGAGGAAGTCCCAAGATGGGAGTGAAGAAGTGGGTCAGAAAATAATGAGAAATGTGATAGAATGAGAAGGACTGTTGAATATGTCTGGAGAAGCTGAGTAAGGGTTCTCTGCATAGTGTAAATACAGTGGACAGATTACATTGGGAGAGATTAAACATTGTGAGATAAGAGTCTTGTGGTGAGTTCTGATACAGGTGATTACTGTACACTTAAGGGGAAGGGGCCATGTTAGGTTAGGTTGGGTTGGGTTAGGTCAAGTCAAAGCCTATATTCTTGATATAACCTAACATTAGGTTAGGTTAGGTTGACCTGGCCCCCTTCCCCTTAAGTTGAATTATTTCCATGTTAGGAAAAAGGTAAATACAGAGTGAAACAGAGACAGAAAACATCTTGGGTGAAGAAATTTAACAAAAATACTTAGTGTCCAAATGCCCGTGATATGATCATACAGGGAGTCCCCGGGATACGAACGGGTTCCGTTCCTAAGGCCGTTCTGAAGTCGGAACACATACCCTATGTGCACTATATCATAGCCCAAGTCCTTTAATGCATCTCGAATCACTTAATTTAAGAGAAAAGAAGAAATTGGATGACAAAATACACTAAAAATTATACTTTTAACACACATTAAAATCTGAGACTGGCTTGCAAGTAGAGATGGGCATTTGTAGGAGTGACAGAGGCTTTATTGGGATGGATGAACTGAAACTTTTTTCTTTTCATCATAAATCTCTCTGTAGCATTGTGGATATTCAGTAATACCTCAATGAATCTTGGTGAATCTTGCTGTTCAAATGTAAACAATCCTTCTTCAATAAGCCTGAAACCATCTGCCATTCCTTTTGTAATCATTCCCTTTAGTTCTGGAGTTTCAGCTTCCTCAACATCCTCTGATAAAATTTGCTTCTCCAGTTTAATCAGGTCCTCATTGTTTAATTCCTAAGCATGAGACTAGAGCAACTGAGTGACATCCTCACGAGTATCAAGATGGAGTTGGTTCTCAAGATCTACTTCTGTCAGTGTCACTTCCCCAACATCATTTTCAGAGCCCCTGAAATCGTGGACAAACTGTGGGCAGTGTTTTTTCCAAACATCATTTGCCCTTACCTTGAACCGGTTAAACCAGCCCCTACCAGCAAAAAAAATCTTCCCAATCACTTTTACCACCACGTTTAGCCATCAAGTCAGCATGCAAGCTTCTCGCTTTTTCCTGAATCAAGGCTAGACTTGAGGCAAATTCCGTTGATTTTGATCTTCCACCCATATCACTAACAATCAATCCACTTCAATTAATAATCCACTTCTTTGTTCTCTTATGACAGTTGAGTACAGTGGTGTAGATCCTTATACATATTCAATAATTTTCTCTTTGTCTTTCAAAATTGTTCCGACCACTGAATGACTGAAACCCAAAGCTTTACCGATCACTAAGGGTGTTTCACCTTCTTCGGAATGATTAATTAGTCATTTCTGCTACAAAGCGTGTTTTGTCAACGCGAATTGGCTGTAACACGATTGAGGAATAGAAGAACGATATTTGTAAAACGCGAATGCGTGTTGGCTGTAACGCGATTCCACTCGAACGTTTTAAGTGTACTGTTGCTTGGCATGGGGTTATGTAGTGTTTACAGTTCACGTTCGACATCACATGCTCAATTGATTCATGTGTTTTGTTTGTGAAGTGTAATTTGATGGGGACTATAAATTTCATCCCTTTTTTTGCCAATTTAGCTGTTCACATAAACACTGTATGAAAAAAATAAATAAAAATAATGTTTCGCAGTGCGGACTAATAGCATTTTACACCCGCGCTCTCTGCCTCCATCACACGATCAGTTGAAACACGTGGGTTGTTTTGAAGCGTCCTCAGTGATTTATGCTTACTGTTTCTCCAATTTTGTGGTATTAACTGTGAATATGGAAAAGAAGAATATCTCCAAGAAGCGTTCTGGTGATCGCATTCCCGGTGGTGATCGTAAAAGAAAGGATATAATACTTGAAGAGAAGCTTGATGTTATCAACCTCAAAAGCACCCTTCTCCCCCATCAAGTTATATTCATATTTTTTTCAAAATAAAATGTTACATTTACTGTATGATTTCATTATTAGATATGAATGTAACATTTATTTAGACTGTGCTATCCTTTGTGTTAGGCTAACTACTAAATTTTTTTTCGATTTCGAGTAATCTGCACCTAACCCTATTTTCTCCATAAACCCTGTTATTTCTATTGCGCGCATTTCTACAACGCAAGGTTTTACAAGAACACAGCTATCGTGTTGTAGCAGAACTGACTGTACATCCATTGTAACTGTTTTCCTTTTCATGGATGGACTACTATCACTTGCATCAGGTTTGCATTTGGCAGCCATGATGAGGACCGAAAAAAGTTAATAAGCAAAAAACAAGTTTGCATCTAATCACGCACGTTAAGGCACTGAGGGTAAAGTGTACTGACGCTCCCGCTCCCTGAAGGCAGGTGACTGGGTGCGACGCATCACTCCCCACGTGCCTCTCTGCCTCCCCTCTACGTTGCACAAACTAGTTCTCATACGTAACTGCTACAAACCATTGTACTTATGTCGGATTTTTTAAAGAATTGACATTATGGGACTTTGTTCATATTGGCGGGTGTTCATAAGTCGGGGACCCCCTGTAAAAGTACAATATTGTACTACGAAACCATAAAAATCAAAACCCCGTACAATACAGTACTGTACTAATTTATGTACATTGGTAGATGAGTCGATATTTACCAACTCTAGTCATGAGCAGGAAGACCGCCGACCACACCAGCAAGTTGTACAGGTGGCGGGAGGAGTCCGAGACGGTGGGCACCACACAGTATTCATACAACTCTGACAATGTAAACTGGGATGCAACCTCCTCTTCCTCCTCTTGTTCCCAGGAGTTCCCTTCAGGGAGCTCATACACATCCTGCAAATAACAAGTAGACATCCTGTACAGTATTGCAATAATCTTTGGCATGAACAACTACACTGTTTTTATCCATTAAAATATTTAACTGTATATATGTGTGTGCCTACATCCACACTAAGTCATGATCATTCAAATAAGAGAAGGGAATGAGCTTCTGAACATAATTACTGTACATCTTTGACTTAAACTGCAAACCAATTATGTCGCTTCAATAACTTATTATATTCCTATGAACCTAAACAAGAACACCTGTTACAAAGTATAGAAACAGGCATTGGAATTACAACAGTACAGTACAGGTTGACAATCCCTTATCCGAAATCCTTGGGGCCAGGGGCATTTCGGATTTCGGAATTTTTCAGTTTTCAGAATGGTTAGTTTTTTTGTTTTTTTTTATGTGTGTCTTAGCTCACCCGGGCATAGATCACTGACCCACATCAGGGCCTGGGGGGGGGGAATATAATAAAAATTATAATAATCATAATTCATAGGTCTAGGTCGTGTTTCTCACTTTTGATCTTTTTTTCATTTTTGTATTTCTTTATTAATATCATTATTTTATTATTACAGTATTATTGTTATTATTATTAATTTTACTATTATTATTATTATTATTATTATTATTTTATTTTGGTGTATTTTTTTTTTAAATTTTATTTACTATGAATAATTATTATTATTATAATTATTATTTCTATTATATTTTCGCCCCCTCCCCCCAGGCCCTGATGTGGGTCAGTGATCTATGCCGGTGCTAGAAAAAAAAAAAAATGGCCCCACCAAAAAAACTTTCGGTTTTCAGAGCTTTTCGGTTTTCGGAATTTCGGATAAAGGGTTGTCAACCTGTACAGTACAGTACATACAGTAATAAGAGAATTGTTAAGAATTTCATCAAAATTAACCACAGCCTGATGGAACACTCACTTCATCATAATAATCTACGTACTCCATGCCATCAGCGTCTTGGTCGTAGTCGTATTCGTATTCTTCGTAGGAAAGTTCTGCCATCTGGAAATCAGTGAGAGATGATGGTGTTCGAGCTAAAGATGACAGTGAGAGTTAAACAAGAGAGGTGGATTGTCTCTGTACATCACTGCTCAAGAGTAAGGCTCCTTAATGAGTTTTCTGGGATTGGAATACTGTACAGTACTTGAGGTTACACAAACATCTCAATCCAACTTTACCCAGCATGTTGGTGGTACAGCGGTAATGCGTATAACTCTCATCAATATGTCAAGGGTTCAAGCCTCGGCCCGGACACACGTGAGAAGGGTATTATCCAGTGTGACCCTCACTACCAAACACCACAGGTTTCCTGGTCCCTGCACAAATGGTTAGTAAGCTGATAAGTGGCTAATATGGTACAGTATTAATTACAAAAATAAAAATAAGTCTAATCGAATTAATTCATAATGCACTACATACCAATTTTTTTTCAAGGAAATAAAACAATATAAAACAGCTAGCAATATTTTCCTTTCCACTCATGATTTTATTTTTCTTATTTTCACTTAATGGCCACCCACCTTGTAGGGTTCAATCACATCTTTCCTAGTTCTTCTATCTTTTACACATGTAAACTACTTTTAATCTTTCCTCTTGAGACAAATTTTCATCTTCAGTAATATTCAAGTTAACTGTGTGGTGTGCTGATCACTTTGATTATGACAATAAAGTGTTGAAAAAAATAAAAAAAACAGTTGAACTCACTGCAAGCTATGTGGCTGTTTTGATCACTTTCGATTTAAAAAAAAAAAAAATGGCAAGTCAGTTGAGGCCTCTGTTGATGAATTAATAAAAAGGGCATTGCGAAGCACTGAACAGTAGTGTGTACAGTACAGTATATGTGAACCGTAACTGTTCCATACCACTGAATTACAGTTGTACCCCACTTAACGCGGTCAATAGAACCCAGAGGGTCCCGTGTTAAGTGAAATCCGCGTTAAGTGAACAACAGAACATATGGGATTAATTCCAATAGAAACCAGCCCGACCCCCAAACTCCACTTTTTGAAGACACATAACTATGTTGTAGTAAAAATAACATCTTAATTTTATGATGGTACATGCACACAATTAATACTTAAGAGAAATAGAGAAATACAGTCGCCAAGTTAATGTCCATTCAAATAATGGACTCAACTCCCTCCCCCTCTTCTCACACTACACTGCTGGCTCTTCCCTCTCTGAGAAATTTTTGGGGGAAAACCACTAAATTTTAATAAATAATACCTCAAACTAAAGTTAGGATAATACAATTGACATTGCTGGATTCCTTGTAAGACCAGGAATATTTTGAATATAAATGTCATATATTTTGCACAAAAGATAACATATTTACTAGAGAAAACATTATATCTAAAATTTGTATGTCTAATGTAAAATATATGATGTTTATATTCAAATGATCACCAAATTATAAGAATTCCAGCAATGTAAATTATATTCTGGCCGGGTAATTTGTATGAATTTTATGAGCTAAAACAAATATCTTCAGTTAATAAAAAAAAAAATATTCTTCAGGACACTATCTGTCAATCAAAGTACCCCACCTTGCCTCTCCCCTCTTCCAACCGCGTGGTCAGTCCCAACCCTCCCCCCCACCCCCCACCAATCCTCCCTTCAAGAGAAGAGTGGGTGAAAAAAATAAATTTTAACATTTTGTATTAAATAATACCTCAGATTAAAGTTAGGATAATATAATTGACATTGCTGGATTCCTTGTAAGACCAGGAATATTTTGAATATAAATGTCATATATTTTGCACAAAAGATAACATATTTACTAGAGAAAACATTTTATCTAAAATTTGTATGTCTAATGCAAAATATATGATGTTTATATTCAAAATGATCATCAAATTATAAGAATTCCAGCAATGTAAATTATATTCTGACCGGGTAATTTGTATGAATTTTATGAGCTAAAACAAATATCTTCAGTTAATAAAAAAAAAAATATATTCTTCACGGGGTAACAGATGGTCGGTCGTCCCTCCCTCCCCCCACCAACCGTCCCAAGGAGATGTGTGGGAAAACCACTAAATTTTAATAAATAATACCTCAAACTAAAGTTAGGATAATATAATTGACATTGCTGGATTCCTTGTAAGACCAGGAATATTTTGAATATAAATGTCATATATTTTGCACAAAAGATAACATATTTACTAGAGAAAACATTTTATCTAAAATTTGTATGTCTAATGCAAAATATATGATGTTTATATTCAAAATGATCACCAAATTATAAGAATTCCAGCAATGTAAATTATATTCTGGCCGGGTAATTTGTATGAATTTTATGAGCTAAAACAGGCAGTCAGGCAGGGTGGCGGATGGGGCAAATCTAAAAATAGCGTCTCGAGCCGGACACTCACCGCATATATGTGGAAAAAATCCGTGTTAAGTGAAAGTTCAGCTCTGGCGAGGCACCGCGTATATGATAAAACGCGTTAAGTGAAACCGCGTTAGGCGGGGTAATACTGTATACAGAATCAAGTGTGTTAATGCTCACTTGTTTTATTTAAGCTAAAATCAGACACAGTGTAATATTGTCTTATTGTAATTTCACCAAAAAAAGAATGAAGGTGCATATGCCAAGGTCTTATATCCAGCTCACAGGTAAATTCAAAGTACAGTACAAGTGCAGGTAAAGGTACTGTAATTTGAAAGTAAGAACAACAAATCAAATCTCAGTGTGAATTCTACTGAGATTAATCCTTTGAAATAATGTTTTTTCGTAAACTAAACAATATAAACAATTACCCCGGTACCTACTCTTCATCTTTTCCTTATTATTTGACAAACTCATCTCTAACAACACCCATATAATACAGTACACTAAATGAACTCTACTGGGTAATGGTGGAGCAGACAGTTAGTACCAGAAGGACTTTATGGAATTGTGTCAAATTTTCTGTTGTTGTTTGGATGATACTATGTAAGAAAATAGAAACAACAATGCACAGAACCTATTACAGTAATATATCCCTTCGCCGGAATCCCTCAAACTCGGAACTCTCCGATAGCCGGAATTGAAATTTTCTCAGAAAATTGCTCCCAATGCTAGAATTTTCCTGAAAATCCCGACCTTGGGAACAATTTTCCGAGGGGCACATTTTCCGGAAAATTAAAAAAAAAATTTCCAATACCCGGAATTCTGGGGATGGGGGATTTTTTTCCGGGTTGGAGAGCTGAAAATTAGGTGCATTTTCTGGAAATTCCGAGAACATTTTTCCATTACCCGTAAAATTCCGGAAAATTCTGGAGATGAGAGATGTTTTTTCGGCTTTGAGAGAGTCGTCTCGTTACCTGGAAATCTCTCATTCCCGGAAGTGATCTGCACCAATTGTTCCGGCTAATGGGGATATCACTGTCTAACTTTACCTAACTTCCTAACCTGTGTACAAGTATTATTGTTTCAAATTTCTTTCTATCATCCAAATGACACCTCAAGAAAAAATTAAGGAATTCAATCCAATAAAAATCGTAATAAACACGCCCGATGACCGCTGACGCTCCCATATGACAGACAACGTGAACCAAAACATGGTCACCAAGGGCCTCTTCTTTCATGCCCTGCCCATTTGTCATTTTTATTTTATTACTCAGTATCACCCAAAAAACAATCATGGCTAACCATCTGCTCCAGCTTTACCCTCTACTGTACTTCCCACTATACAATCTTGTGCCATCCTTAAATTATCTGAGACAATGAATTTTCATTCAAATTATAGTTGGGGAAAAACAGCAAACCTTCGAAGATTTGGACCTGTTAATTCCAGATTTTGGAAGATTCGGACAAAATTTGGGATTTCCGGAGGCTAAGAAGCCTCCCTAAGAAGCATTACCAAAACAGAACAAAGATCATTGTAGGCCCGTGTAACTAAGATGTCAGCGAGCAGGACACAGGTGCCCAAGGCGGGAAACATAAACAGAGTTGTCAATTGTTGTTTGTGGAAATATTATTTCATTCACTCAAGTAATGATACAAAGTTTCTTATTATATTATCGATGGTAAATGCATGGTTTATATAATTTATCACTGTGCCCGTCACCATTTTCAAATTAGACTACAAGTTATGTATTTTTCCCATAGGTATTTCATTCATACGCCCGGAAACAGGTTCAAGTAAGGGGAGTGAGTAAGTCAAGTGACCGCTAGTTGAGCGTCGTCTGCTCTTGGAACTCTCCTCCCTCCCTGCCATATTTCACTGGAATTACTGTTAATATTAATGTTTACTGATATAATAGTGCTTAATAGTGATTAATCATGGTATTGTAGCCACTGTCACCACCAGGCTACTGGGCCAAGCTGTGAGGTGTTTTGGTTGTTTTTCATCTTGTATTTTTGGGTAGATAAACATAATTTTCTTTCGTTTATTTTTACTCAGTTACTTGCACACACAATCCTACATACACATTGTAAAAAAAGTAAATGAAATAAATATCCTAAAGGCAAACACGTAAAGGGAATATATTATACATTTCTTTGCACACGAGTTAGCTGGCTCGGTGTCGGAGGGGAGGAGGGTGCAGTGTAGTGGGTGGGAGCATTGCGAGGGAATCGGTGTCCCAGCTGGTCTTCATTACTGGGTATATACTATGGTGAAACTGGGCGTGATGCAAATGGAGTCTGTTAAACCTATAGTTGGCTTTTATTACTGATTTGACAATAGAGTATTTTTTGCTGGTACAGTATTATTTTTATTTATTCCTCACATTTCCTGGTACTGTATACAGTATGTATATTATTTTAAGAAAACTATGCCTCCAGGAGGGAAATACACACAAAAGATTTTCCCTAAATACTCCCTGCTAAAATGGGGGATGCATCATATATGCGGTAAAATACGGTACTGTACTGCATTTTTTAGTGTATTTTATATCATTCTTTATCATTTTTATACATTTAATAAATTCACCGGAAGATACGGACAATCGGCTTTTTTTGGACAGGTGGTCCCCACTTTTGGTCCGGAGCTTTGAGGGTTCACTGTAATTCA